GAAAGTTAAAAAGTTTGTTCATTCGTTATATAATAATGTTCAAAAATATGATAACTCAGTATGTGGTAAATATATTGACCCTTCAGAAGTTTTCAAGAAAGCAAATGAAGAAGTTGATATCACTTTTGATATGATTATTCCGGTAAATGATTTGTTAGCATTTCAGGCGTTCGATGATTATCCTAAATCATTTGGTGAAATCATTCTTAAATATTATGTTTTCAGGGATACTTTAGTATTTTGTCAGGTTGACCCGTTAAGAGTTGCTGATTTACAAAATTACGTTTATGAAAAGATAACTGATGAAAATTATGAAAAGATTATGAATCATGTTTATAAATATGATCGCAAATTCCAACAAATCGGACTTCCTGCCAAATTAATTACAAGCTTAGCCGCTACATCTGCTGACGCAACAGTTGATGACGTTATTATTTCATGCACAAAGATGGAAGTTTTAGAGGATAAATGCATTACACCAGGATACGGTTTAATTGAAGAATCAGTTAAAGCAATACCACGTTTATTCAGTAAGGAAGATCCATTCATGATTCCAGCTCAACATATTGACGTTCGTTCACTAAATGGAGGTTGCATCACTCCTGAAGGTATCAGTTCAGATTTCTCATACGCTCTTCATAATGTTACAGATGTTGTGTTAGCATTTCCGAAGAATGCAATGCAAAGAACGGTTTTAGAAAATCCAATGCTTCGAGGTCTTCAGGTCACTATAGATTCCAGAAACTTCCCGATCAAGCGATGACCACAGTGGGCGACATATTCTTTACACGTATGCTTCAAGCTTCTGATTTAGATGGAGTGAATGAATGCACGGAAGAATACGAGGACTCATTAACTAGACCACTGAATGATGATAATGGCGTGCCATTAGCTAGAACATGGAAAGACCAAACTTCATTCTTATGCACTATTCCAGTTCAACGTGATGGAGCGGGTATATTCTTTGATGGATTAGAAACTTTCAACTCACAAGTTACAGTACAAGTGAAAGCTTATCCAATCATTCAGGGTGTAAATGACACTTACTGTTCAAAGGTGACAAATCCTCCTCAGGTTTGGTTTACTAGGACTACGTATTGGACATGGACACCGGATGAAGGTTTGAAATATCATCCAACAGGTACACCACCACAGTATAGAAGTTCATATGATGAAATATTGATGAATAGAAATGTATAAAATTATAAATTTATTTTTGATTAAATGGATTTAAATTCTGAAGAATTAGCGGGAGTATATAATACATACGTAGATGATATGATTAATGAAGCATTGAGTGATAATAGAAATGCTCTATCTAAGGAAAAATTAATGAAAATTCCATATTCTGAATGTTACTTAAATTCAATCACTGCAGCAATTGGTAAACAAAATAAAAGGTAAAACATTAACGATATTAAAACAAATTATCATTATTGCTAACACTTCCCCCCATTCACATGTGTTAATTTATATCAACCGTTCAGGTTCACCTTCAGATGATACATTTGAATCTTTAAAGCATTTAATCAAAATTCCAATTATTTATTTATCACAAGAAGAAGCAGAAGATTATTTAAAAAACTTTTTAATGTATAAAGAATTATATAATACAATCAAGAAGCAAGGATTAGAGGATAAAATTATTGATAAACAACGGGATGAATTATTTGAAACACTTTCTATTTCAAATTTTGATAGAGAATTTTTGCATTCACTCATTTTTCTAGATGATGCGGTGAAATCAAAACTAATAACAAATGAGAAATCATATTTTAATCAGTTATTAACTCAATGTCGACACATTCAGTGTTCATTCTTCATGGCTGTTCAATACTTCAAAGCATTAAGCACAAACATTAAATCAAATCTATCAACACTTTTCATTTTCAGTGGTTTTAGTCGTCAACAGTTGAACGTTATGCTTTATCAAGTGAATTTACCAATGAGCATTAATGAACTTTACACACAATATCAACAATTAGGTGAACATGGAAAAATAATAGTTGATTTAAATAAAGGATGTGTTAAATTTGATTAACTTTTTATAATTAATTTTTATTTTTTATTTATAATTAAACATGACAGAAATAGCAAATCTTTTACAGGTTCCATTAAAACAGGGGACAAACAAAAAGGGGGTGTGTATAATAGAACTATGAAAGTTCCAGACGGAATGAAAGAATTAGTTCATATTGTTGCTGGTCTTCAAAAAGATGTAAAACAAATGAGAAACGTTTTAACATTACCAGAAGCTCAAGCATATGCCAAACGTCAAGGTCCAAATTGGGAAGCACATGAAGCAGACATTACAGGTCCAAATGGAAAACCTGATGGTATAAATGAAGTTTTCGTTACTGATGGTCGAGGTAATATTAAAGTCATAAATGGTTACAAATTAACTGTATCTGATTATCCTAAACGTAAAGCATATAATGAATGTTATCCTATGCAATTTGATGAAAATGGAAAAGCTGTTAAACAATACATTGGAGAAGGTGAACATGGCCCAATTAATTCATACCGTCATAATCCATATTCATATTTCAATGAAGAATTAAACGCTATTGAAGAAGGACCGGATGGATTACCACAATATGTTAATCAGTTTGATGGTCAATATGCAAATTTGAGACCTGAAATTCCAGCTAAGAAATTCTTTAAAGTTGCTTTATTCGATCCAGTGTTCAATGAACAGAAAGAAGCAATGAAAGCAGAATTTAAACCAATTCAAGTGGCAAGAATTTCTTCATCTTCACTTGCAGAAGCGTTCAAGGAATTGATAAAGAAACCACTTTATTCTCAACAAGGTTATAACTTTGATTTAATTAAAGAAAGTGATAGACGTAAATTAGAAAAATCAGATGGTTTTAAGAATGCATGTAATGAAATGATTAAAGATATTGTAAATGATGAAATAAGACTGGAAGAAACTCAAAGCAATATCAATAACATTATTGGTGCAGTTACAAAGAAAGTATAAGCAAACAATGATGAACCTTGGGATATTACCGTAACAACTAAATAAAACTTTAAATATATATTTTTCTTTTTTTATTCAATTATAAATGAGAAGACGTTTCACAAGTCAAAAGAACACTAACGCAAAAGCAGAGATTACGGTTGGTTATAACGTAAATGATGATAAATCACGAATTATTCAAAATGTTAAAGTTAATGTTAGCCCTGAATTAACAAGGTCAGCAACTCAACCAAATTTATTAACTCGTGACTTACCGAAGAATGAGGAGAATGAAGAAAACCATGAGAATGGAGACCCAATCATTTTATCTGAACCCGGTAAAGAACCCGTTGAAATCCCCACATATCCAACATACCCCCCACCTCTTTCATCAAACATCGAGAACCCAGGAATATACGATTCCAGTCGCAATGCGCCATATAAAATAGACATTAATTCTGAATTAATGAAAATTTACCGTGATATAATAACTGATAATTATGATTCAATAATAAATTTAATTGATCAATCCGGTTTAATTATTTTACCTTATGAATCATTAATTCACATTATCGCCATTCTTTGTGATGTTCAAGATTCAGACGTTAAGATTCAATTTTTCATAGATGATGAGGTTTCATGCTGCGGAACAGTTGCAAAAATAAATCCTATAAAGGATATTAGCACAATTAAGATATCAAAGAACGGAACAACAACTGAACTTCATTTAACATATAATGATATTTATAATAAAATAGTTGATGAATATAAAATATCACTTGAAAAATTCTTTGTTAAGGCTATTTAATATTCAAGCATTAACATTATTGAATAATAATCCTTTGAATCATAATCAATAATAATTGACCTTTCACCAGTTTCTATCGTTTGTTTTATTTCTTTTTGTTCCCCACTATCTGGATCGGTCATTGTAATTGTTTTTGTTATAGTATCAGCTTTATCTTTAACTTCAATCTTTTTTCCATCAGGATATTTAAACCAAAATTCCAAAAATTCGATATTGTCAATCTGTTCATATTTTAATCTATCAATTGCATTTTTAATACCATCTGAAAATCTTATGAAATGGTCATTATATGGGTTTGATTGAACTAAATTTGAATGAAGTGAAATATAACCCGATGATGAATATGACATTGACTCATATTTTCTGAAAACACTGAAATTTATAACATGAATGAATTTCTTATTCGTTGAATTTATGAATTCTTGAGGTAATCTTATTCTAGTTTTATTTATCACTGGAAAATAACGCTTTACCATATTTTTAATCGTAATAAAAATGTCAATTATCAATATTATTTCGAATAATAGTTGTGAATTAAATTTAACAGTTAGTGGAATTTATAATGTTACTCTCGTTTCTGTGAGTGGTAAATTTAATCCCATTCTTTTAGACCCTTCAGATTATATATCATTTATTAAAGATGACCTTGAAAAAACGTATGATATGTATATAAATAATGTGATAACGAAATGGGATATTAACACAATTTTAAGTTATTTAAATGAATCATTTATCGTTTGGTATGAAGAAAATTTTAAATCAAAACCTGATAAACTTTTTGAACTTGATGAAATAAATAACCTTATTAAATTCCCGCTGAAAATTAAATTTTGTACTCCTCATCTTCGTTCAATGTTGGGGATATTAAATTTTGAAAAAGATGTTGGGGATGTTTTGTATTCTGACACTGGTTCCAATTTCATTTTAATCAAATGTGATAAAGTTAATACCCCAATGAGATTTTCACATCAAACATTAGACCCTAACTCTTACCCATCAATACAAAACATTTTATCCATCAACTTAAACATATTTTCTTTATCATATCCGTTTCAATTATCCGGGAATTCATTTATTCTTCATTCAAAAGATTTATCAAATATTAAATTTAGAATAACTGACCTATTTGATTGTGATTTAGAATTTATGAATGAAATATTATGGCAATTTCAAATAGAAAAAATAGCTGATGAGATAACAGATTAAATATTTATTTTTAAATCATAATAAATGATTAAACAACAGCAACCACAGCAACTTAAGGCACAGACCATTACTTACGCCACATATGCATATAATTCAAAGACGGCAGAACAAACGCAAAGGTTGAAATATGGAGATTTGGAGATAGTATTGAAAAATGACCATTTTGAATTCGTTTGCAAGGGTGGTGCAGTGATATCAAATATAAAAGAAATTTTATTTATGAATTCAAAAATTAAAGGAATAACGGATGATATAACATCAATTCCACCAGAAGAACAAAGATATTACGCATTAAATGCATTTCCTAAAGTTTTGAAGATTGGAAGATTTAATTTAAATGAGGAATTCATAGAAGGTTTCCTAAATGACATAATGAAGAAGGCAGATAAGGAATATGTGGATAGTGAGTTAATGAAGAAGGCAGATAAGGGACTTGTGGCTAGTGCATTAATGAAGAAAGCAGATAAGGAATATGTGGATAGTGCATTAATGAAGAAAGCAGATAAGGAATATGTGGATAGTGAGTTAATGAAGAAGGTAGATAAGGAACTTGTGGCTAGTGCATTAATGAAGAAAGCAGATAAGGAATATGTTAATGAAAAAGATAATGAAATTATCGAAAGGGTTGAATGGTACCATGAACGGACATCGAAGATTTTAAAAACTAAAGCTGATACAGGATGGGTTTCAGAATGTTTAGACCTTAAAGCAGATAAAACTTATGTTAACGATGAGTTAGAGAAGAAAGCAAATAAAGAATATGTGAATGAAATATACCAAAGTTTGATAGGAACAACTAAAAATATTGAAACTATTGCTGGTGACTTTTCCGTCTATGAAGAAAATAAATATTTTAGAGGGCAATTGGTACATTCCTTAAAAAATGGTATGCGGTGTAAACTCATTCCGAAAAATAACAATGAAATGTATGTAAGTTATAAAAAGAATGATGACACACAAGTTAAAGTTCCATTAGACAACAACTGTTACTTAAACTTATATGGAGACGAACAAAAGAAATATTTAAGAGTTTATGAAATGACGGATATGACATTGTCTAACGTAGCTCCAGCACCGTATTATTTCGACTCTGGAGATGATGTCAGAACACCACATGTAGATGAACAAAGGCTAACATTATATTTAGATTATTATAGATATAAAAGATATAATGCAATAGAAAAAACGAGAATAGTATATTATTATATAGATGACAAAAATAAATATTATAGTCAAGATTTTACATACCCTGAAAACATAAGATTATATTATAAAAAATATTCTGACACAAACCAGAAGAAACCCGAAATAGTTACACTATATTTTAAGTTCAAAAGAGACAATCCTATAATATCTCATATGTTTGATTTAATGAACCCAGTAGGTTCTATTTATACATCTATGGATGTGAGAGGTCCTCAAGCAATGTTTGGTGTTGGTGCATGGGAACAAATAGTCGACAGGTTTTTGTATTGTGCAAACTCTTCAAAGGAAACAGGGGGAAGTAAAACGATTACAGGTGAAAATTTACCTGCACACAGTCACTACATAGATTTAAGTACATCTCAAGCGGGTTGGCATAAGCATAGATATTGGGATTGGTCAGGAATGACAAAAGGTAAAGGATATGATGTTAAAGACAACGTTAAGTTTGCCATAAATTGTTACTGGAGTGACACTCAGGGAGAAGGAAACCATACACATCGCGTTTCAGGATATACACAAACAACGGGACAAAGTAAAGATTACATGCCACCATTTATGACTGTATTCGCATGGTATAGAGTTCAATGAACGCTCAATGTTTGTGAAACAAACTTTAGGAGCTCCAAAAGAGCAAACAGCATAATTTAAATTTTTATTTTAGTATAAATGAAGATTCTACCATATGGTGTTATTGGAAGAGATAAAGATGGAAACCCAATATTTGATCCAAAGTTAAAATTAAAGTTACTGACAAGACAACAACTTGAAAAGTTGCTGAAACCAAAACAGAATGAAAAATGAGAAAATGAGAAAATGAGAAAGAAAAAAAATTTAAATTATGCAATTTTATTTTTATCATAAATGACCAAATTAATTAAGCCAACTATTTCTAAATTAATGATACCAATGAAATCATTTCGTGGAGTACTTATCCCAGGTTCTTCACAATTAGCCGGGGCAAGTGTTGTGACTCAAGGTGGAACATTAGCGAATCCATTCAAATTATTAACTAAAGATGAACTTAATAAAATGATGATAAAATAACTGATAACAAAATTTTATTTCACTGCTACCATAAAAACAGGTGAAAAAACAGGTGAGATCTCACCTCTTCACCTAAAATATATTTTAGGTCAAAGCTTCCACGAGAGAAAAGATTCCTCATTCGCTAAGGATTCCAAAAATGAAAAAATCATTGATTTCGGCTGAGAAAAAACAGCAAAACCCTTCTTCCACGGGAACAAAGAAATAAAGAAGAAATAAAGAAGAAATAAAGTAAATTTTTTATTTATTCCCGTGGAAGATAGAGCACTTTTATGACACTTTTTATTCACGACAAACAAGACAAACAAAGAAAATAAGAAAATACGGCGCTGTCGCGGAGTAATAAAATAAATCGGAATTTCTATTAATTTATTGTTAACCTCAACTAATGCATTGCCGTTAATATATCTAACAAATTCAGCTATTGTGTCAAATCTTCGTCTTCTTTTTGTCATTGATTTATCAGTTTTTCCATAATCGAGATGAATCAAAACTTTATCCCCTTGTTTAAAATTCATGAGCCCCGAATTAATTTGTTCACGTTTAACATCATTCAACCTTTCCATTTGCTTTCTAATATATTCCCATTCTTTTGAAATATCATTTTTCATTTCCACTGGTTTCATGTTTATTGTTCTATGCCATGTATTATTGTAATAATATACTAACTGTTGTATGATGGAGTCATGATTTCCATCCCAGTATATCTGACCGTTAACCCCTAACGCATCTCTAAGAGTTCTCATTACCGCATCAACTATTTTATTATGAAACGTATATGGAGAGGATGAAAAGTAAAAATTAATTTGTGGGAAATAATGAGTCATAGCTGCCTGAAATCCTTTATCACCATCACCCCTGATATTATCTACTCTTTCATGATCTAGTAAGTATTGAATAGCTCTTCTTGTTTCCTGTTCTGTTTTCCCTTTCACTGGAATGCAATATAAATATCTGGTGTTAATGTTAATGGTAAATAAATAAGTAACGTTTCCTTTTGAATATTCTAAATGATCGATTTCATATGAATATGGATATGGTGCAAATGAAGGGCGACTAAATTTTTCCTTTAACGGTTGAATTTTTGGGTCAATTGGTTTATTTAATATCTTGAAATCCTTTTTAAAATCTTTTTGTTTCTTTAATGTTTGAAATGGATATAATAAAGTGAATGATGAAGGATTAACTGAAGGAGGAGGTGGTTTTGGTGTTGCAGGTACTGTCGTTAGAGGTTTTGGTGTTGCAAGTGGTTTAATTTTATCTGCTTTGATTTTGGATGATGAAGTTTTGGAATTCCTTCCTTCCTTCATTAATTCTGGATGTATTCTATTCATTTGTTTTAAATATGCTGTATATAAAGGTTTAATATACTTTCCCGCTTCGAGTTTATGTTGAAGGATGAATTCCAAAAGTTGATCTTCATTTAAAAGTCGGGCTGAATATGGTTTAACTAATGAATCATAAATTAAAGCTTGTGCATCATTTATGGTCTGAAGGACCTGGGCGTTTTGCACCTTTTGTTTTTGCTTCTTTTGCTTTTGCGGCTCAGGATTATATAATTTATATAATTCATCAATATCTTCTTCTGTTAATACTTTATTTTTAAAATCTTTCAATTGTTTCAGTTGTGATTTAGTTTTTCCCTTTGAATATTCATTATTTTTAATTTTGTCTTTAATTTTAGAAATTATTCTATCATGATATTTCAAAATTTCATTTTTATAATATGGATAATAATATCCATATCATCACCCGTTATATTATTATTATATTTTTGGAGATATGATTTTAATTCATAATAACTAAGAATTTTTTGATTAAGTACTAAATCATCAATTAAATTTTCTAAATCTGCGTTATCCATTTATATAAAAATAAAATAAATGTTTTAAGGGTGCCCACCTCTTTGAATCATAGTATCAAAAACATCATTAACGGTTCCTTTTGTCTCTTCTGTGGCATTTTATTAAATAAATGGCATACAACATCCATTTTCACAACACACAGCCTTAGTGTGTGCTCCTGTTAATGCAGTCTTACCAATTGTTAAGCGAGTCATTGACCCGTTTTTAAGTTGTAAATTAATATTCTGACCATCAAATATCACTTTATCATTTATTATATCCAAATAATTTTTAGGTGTTAATTGTTTATTTTGTCGTAAACTAACTCCTTTCATTTTTTGTGCAATCTTTTTAAAATCACTTCCATCAATTGAACCGTTGAATGATGTATAACACTTGGGGCATAAAGCAACCATGTTATCACCTTGTTTCTCAATTGCTAAACCCAATAACTTCTTCTCATGTGCTTTTTCTTCAGCTTTATTCTTTAATTTAGGTTTAAATTTCTCATTAAAACAAAAGAAATCAAAAGGTGCGAATTTGTAAATGTTTTTATCATAAAATTGTTTATCAGTAACAATTGCTTGAAATGCTTGAGTGTTAGGAAGATTTGGGTCGCCAGCGATTGCCCAATAAGATGAATCAGTATCACCTTCAATGAAATGAAAACGATTAACATTCATGCATTTATACATAAAATCATAAATGAAAACCAAATACCAGTATTTTGCGTTATCTAAAGTGAAGAATGCCTCTTGTAAACATGTATCACATCTATAAAATCTATCTTTAAGCATCACTTGATACGTATCTTCACCTATTTCTCTTATGTTTTTAAACTTATTTGACATACATGCAACGCGTGCCTTCTGTGCATTCATTATTTTAGTCTTTGCGTAATTTTGTGTATTCATTGCATCGTAACCATATGATCCATTAAGTGAAATCTTGCAAAATAAACTTTTTCCTTTATTTCCTTCTAATTCAGCCTTTTGTCTTTCGTTCATAAATTCGTTCGCAAATTCATTAAAGCAAGTGTTTTTCGTAAATGTTAAAATTGATTGAATATCATCAATGATAAAATGAAATCTGTCTATTAGATACCAAAGATAATAAGAAGAAAATGGTTGATATTGGTTGTGTGTTGATGCTAACTGAGTTAATTTCCTCTGTTTCTGGTCAACTGGTAGATTGTTTGATTTCATGTAATTATACATAAAACTGCCAATTGTTTTTTCATCTGTGATAATATCTAAGTTTCTTATTATTGGTAAAAAGTTTATGTAATCATTAATGTATTTTTCATCAATGTGACCCTTTACTTCAGCCACGAATAAAGTATTTTTCTTTCTAATTATTCCCAGTGCTTTTGCTTTCTTTGTTGCTGTATCACAAATGATAACACCATTCAATCTTCCCGGCATATACATTTTATGGTCAGTATATTGAATGAAATCATGAGGATTAGATGAAAATGATGAAGGATATAATGAATTAAAATCAACACCAACAAAATGAGTCATAATGTTGGTGGTGTCCTCATTTGATACAGTTTTAGTTTCTGGATTATATGAAAGTTTATTAATGTGCGTGATTCCTTTAAGATTAACACGATGTTGAACATTTGATAGACCACCAGTAATTCCATTACGGAGAATGTGATAAGCTTCAACTGAATCTAAAGTCATTGGTAAATTATTTTTTAATGCATAATTTCTTAAATTGATTCTTAAACGTTGAACATCTTCATCTTTATTTGATTTTACGACATTGCAATAACAACACATTAACTGACAATTTTCTTTGGTATGTGGTTTTTCATTATCGATTCTATCCAATGTTGGTTTATTAGCATATGTAAACGCTTTACCACACATTTTGCATTTAGATGAAAGGATTAAATCGTGATAGTATTGATAGTCATTCATTGAAACATTGTTTTTAGTATCCCTTTCTGCTTTTTCATCTTGTTTCTTATATGATTCAATTTTATATTTCCAATACTTTTTCGTTAATTCAAAACTTGATTCCACATTTTCTTCTTCTGGATATGTTTCGTTAGGATTGAAGTTCTTATATGCTAACGCGTAACGAATCATTGATGCATTCGATGATAAAGAAAGATTATGAAGCATGTCAATTTTATAAACAAATGTTTCTTCAATAATTTTATCAATTGGGTCAATCATAATTTCAACGTCTTTATTGCAATAATGAATAAAATATTCTAATCTATTCTCAAAATTTTTAGCATCATTGAGATATATTTGATAATCTGAATCGGATATAGTTTCTTGAGTTAATGCTGAATAAAATGAATCTTTCGTGAATGGTTCCTTTTTATATAATTCATCTTCGTAATTTTCCCACGTGATGAATTGATAAGGGAAAAAGGATTTAACACGTGATTTATTGTTTCCGAAATCTTGAGTGAATTGGTCTAATGTCCCACCCGCTATATAATTTCTGATGTCAATAAATCTTAATTCATATGGACAGTTTGTTTTCTTTACAATGATTTGCTTAAATTGAGAAGATGAACCCAGCATTGATTTTATTTTCCATTTTGCAGTGTTTAAATCACGAAGAATTAAATTTAAATCAAACTTTCCCGAATTAAAACCTATGATATTCACTTTATTAAATTCTTCATCTAAAAGCTCTTTCATTGCTTCCTTTTGTTTCTCATTTAATGTATGAGACAAAGTCCCCGCCGTTTGGTCCGTTTGCGGCTTCATTAATTCTTCATATTGTTCAATATTTGATTTAGCAACTAATGAACAGGTTGAAAATAAAAACTCAATCCAATCAGAAATAAAAGAATCACTCGAAGTTAAGCAAAAATTCCTCGTAAATGTTTTATCACGGTCTACGACCTCGCCGCTTTGCGGCTTTATTTTGACAGTTGATGATACCATAAATGGTTTTAAGTAAGCGTTCAAAGTTGCACATTCAGAAAGTTGAAGTTCTTCTTTAGTCTCTAATGTTTCGAAGTCAAAAGTAATATAATATCTTGTTGGTTTATAATATTCCTGCAAATTATGTGCTAATAGCCATTGATATATCTTCTGTTTCGTGATATGTGGTGCATATGGTTGTTGTGTGTTTTGCAATTGAACGTCTTGAATTAATCTTCCATTATTTTCTTTACATTTCTCACAATGTTTTAAAAATCTTCTTTGGTTTTTCCTTTCTGGATCATCACGGATAGAATAAACTTCTTCTTTGCAATATGGACAAACTTTATAGCCGGTGAGTGCTTCAACGTCTGTTTTCTGTCAGCGTGAAGTTTTCCACATGGACTCTGTGTTAATAAAATATTTACTGTTTCAAATTCTGGATCTATCATTATTGATTCCACTAATGGAAAGTCTACCTTGTTAATGTCTACGTCTTCTGGTTGAGGGTCACAATAATAAAAATCAATATTAACGTTTAACATTCTTGCTAACCTCTCACTTTCTGATGAAATGTCAAACCCTTCATATGCATCTATTGCTTCATTTAAATAGCTTCTACGAGTTTTAGGATTAACACCATCAGGAATGTTATAGAAGCGTTTAAATAACCTTCTACCTTCTGCTCTAATTTGATTATCATTCATTTTAGCTGTTCCGTTTTTGTTCATTTATGTAAGAATAAAAATTAAAAAAATAAATAAAAATAAAGTTTATTTTTTTAAAGTCCAGGGCTAAAGTCCATAAAATGAATTAAGAACACATAAATTTTTATCATCCGCGACGTGACGAATACATTTTAATTTACTCAAGAATGCGTACCCTGATACATTAAATCTAATTCCTGTCTTATTTAATTTCACAACTTTGAAAAGGAATGTATGAATAGCTATAAAATGATGAGATGATGTTTTATGGGTTGCTTCCATTTTTTCTGAAATAAATGAATATAATGCTTATACGTTTTCATATCTTTTATGTTCTTAATAATGAATGGTATAGACCTTTCAACTTCATCTTCCTTCGGTGCTGTTCTTTCATATGAAACATTATTGGTATCTTCAATAATGAAACCACAATCGCATAAAATTTTATATGTACCAATTGTTTCTTTTGATATTTTATCTAACAAATCAAAAACTTTATCAACACCTGTGCATTTATTTAAATAATAATTTGTGTAAATATCATGGTCTTCTTTCTTAATCGTATTTGTTGCATATGTTACATTTTTCAGTGCTTTTTTGAATTTTTCAGAATCAAGAGGAGGTGAAAGTAATATACATGGATAATCTCCATCGTCAATAAATTGTAACTTATGTTTATGAATAAATTTAGTACCTTCTTCTGAAAGTGTTTCGTCTATTTCACCATCTAATAAATTTTGTGTTGATTCTGAGACATAATTTTTATATCTTTCTTCATGAGATTTTTGAACTGCTGATTCTGAAGCTGGGATATTCATTAAACCCTCTACTTCATTTTCATTATATTTTTCAACTTCTCTTAATTCCTTAATTTTTTCATCTATTTCATCTCTTATTTTTTCCAGTCTTTCAATTTCATCATATTCATCATCTTTAATCCGTTCTTCATAATATTCAGGGAAAACATCAGGTTCTTTAGGTTTTCTTCTTCAGATGTGGATATAAGAAATTTATAACATCATCTTTATTCATTTTTCTATCATAATCAAACTCATTTAAAAACTCCGCGAATTTTTGACAATTTCTTAAATAATATTTACTAACCTCATAACCCGCTTCCTCTAATATATCCTTTATTTCCTCATTTGTGAATCCCAATTTTTTAACGTTGTTAGTTTTGACACTCATTTTCATACAAATTAAAAAATAAATTATTCAAAAATGTAAGACATGAATTTTTAAAGTTTATTTTTTTATTTTTTTTTATTTTTTTATTTCATTATGTATGGGTTTAGTGTAAATGTCTTACAATTTTGAAAATTTTTTAAATCTTGATTTATTCAAAAACGTAAGAATAAAAACCGTAAGAATCATACATTTTTTACTTCATATGTTAAAAAAAATGATACAAAATCACTTGATATTGTATGAATTCTTACGTTTACAAAAAAAGTCACAAAACCCGCACTATATACTACTTTTGAGACAAAGAAAAAAAGAAAATTAAAAAATATTACTCTCCTTTATATTTCATGAGATTTTAAATTTATTCTCATAAAATTGACAATTTTATACGTTTAGATGAAAATAATTGATTTTGCTTGAAATAAAAATTATTGTTTGCTTACAGCTATTAAATAGATTTTTGCTATTTTGATTAAAATTTGTTAATCAAATTAATAAATTTTTTGTAAATATCTTAAATATCTGGATCACTCACTGATACAATGAATTGAACGATAAAAATAATACAAACTCAACTAAGTTTCCTGTCTTTCAACTAAAAAAATTATGCAAATTAAATTAAATTGTTTATTCAAATATTAAACAAAGATGAAGTAATTACAGTTATCATAAACTTTATGAATAACTCTGTAATTGGTTCAGATTTTCGTAAAAATATTTTTATTAATATCGATAAGAATACGTTTACCTACTATCACAACATATCGATAAACAAGAGTAGAGTGATTTTTATCATCGAAGCTTTTTAAAAGCTGTAAGCTGGAAGTAAAAATCTTGTTTTTTCTGAGTTAGTTGTAGAACTATTGATGCACGAGTTATCATTGTGATGTAGAAGGATGTCAATGTACTGACTGAAGGATATGAAGTGAATTGAATTTCATTGAATTTCAATTTGATCAAAATTTGTTGAAATGATATGAATGTGTCAACATCTGTATCACTCTCTTTCACTCCTTCCCTATTTTTTCGAGAACGAAGCTAGCTCAGCTTTCGCTGAGCGAATTGACACTTTTGATGCCCTAAACGTACATACTCTCAAATTTATCGAAAAAAAATTATACCACCTAAACTAGTATATTCTTATTTTAAATATGATATTATCCTTAGAATCCACACTAGAATATATTTAAATCAACTTTTAAAAAAGTTCGAATCCTGCGCGTCTCACTTTTTAAATTTTCCAAAAGGAAAATTATATTCTCCTAAAATGAAAACAATTTTCCAAATTGACATCCTTATTATAATTGAAGAATTAATTATCAAAACAAGTCTAAGAGCCATTTGTCAGATTTTCCCGAAATGCAAGGTTAAGATTTTAGCAGCGACTAACTTTGAGTGTACATATATAATTGTTATACTGAGTACTTTCTATCTGTGTTACTTATTTGAGTCTAAGAGCCATTTGTCAGATTTTCCCGAAATGCAAGGTTAAGATTTTAGCAGCGACTAACTTTGAGTGTACATATATAATTGTTATACTGAGTACTTTCTATCTGTGTTACTTATTTGAGTCTAAGAGCCATTTGTCAGATTTTCCCGAAATGCAAGGTTAAGATTTTAGCAGCGACTAACTTTGAGTGTACATATATAATTGTTATACTGAGTACTTTCTATCTGTGTTACTTATTTGAGTCTAAGAGTCATTTCTACCATAGAACTAGATATTGTCTCTCATTAAATATATATAACTGTAAACTGCTTAATTCATTTATCTATTTAGATAAAATTATATTTATATAAGATTTCATGTTATTATTTCATCTTTATTATTTTTTTATTCCTTTGAAAAGTGACACTGGATAGTTTGTCCCTTTCTCCATCTAGAAACATATTAAAGTAAATTTTCATAGATATTTATATGATAAATATAGTTTAATTCTTAGGTTTAATTTTGTTTAATAATTGTTTCATTAAATATCCTATTGATGTTAAATTATTTTTCAGATTTTCTTCATTACCATTAATTGTCGATAAAACAGTTTAGATTTTCTTGATAATCATCATATAATGTATCATGCATCCATTAAAAGCAACAGAATCTATACATTTCAAAATGATTCAATTTCAAATGCCAAAAATGTAATTTTAAATCAAGATAGTATAATATTTATTGTGTTTATGAAAAAATATTTGTTTGACTATACATTGCTATTCGGGATTCATGGTTCTTGGATTTGTATTATATATATAATTTTTAATTGTATCTTTATTATACAGAAGAGTGTTGCCGACAATTAAATTTTGTTGATGAATTAAAAGATATTCTTATATTAGATTGAACTGGATGTTTGTAAGTATTCGATATCAAATAAAATATATATGCATCTAGGAACTAGATCACAGCAGATATAATATTATGTACATGTATAGATAGGTTTGATATGATAGTGCTTACAATGCTTTTTGAAGTATGGTATAAAATTATTCTTTCAAAATTCTGATGTTTTAGATGAAAATAGATTCAAGTAATATAGTTCTTGTTAACCCATTTATTAAAATACAAAAACATAATAATCAAAAAATTAATTTCAAATAAATCAAGTGTAATCATTAATAGAAACTATTCATTTAATATCGTCATCTATATCTTAATTGATGTGCCATAGAAATATCTAAATAAACTATAAGTATAAGCCTAATTCTTAAGAATTATCTAAAAATTATTGTGTTAGAACAAGGTAATTGTTTAAAATATGTTTATGTATAACAGAGATATAATAAAATCAATTTGTAATAGAATGCAAGCATTTGGATAAATAATTTTTCTAGCTTCGATTTTGAAGAGATAATACTGGGATCATGGTAGAAAATTTATTTTAATGCGTTCTAACCCAGAATTGTCTCAGAACTGCCAAATTGTAAAAATATTTATATTTATAACATAAGTTTTAACCTTCGATCTTGATTGGATATAATGACTGGTACTATGCGATTATGTGTGAACTTGTTTTTTGTGCATAGAATCTTAGGAGCAGCTGAAAAAGCTTTTTCCACGCTAAAACTTTTTTCCACGTTAAAAACCCCCATACTGTAAATATTCGAGAAACCAAAATTTCGCATGACCAAAAAAGTAAAATTCTGGCTTCGTAATTGCACGAAACAGCTTTGATTCATTTTTAGTAACAAAAAATACTATTAGATACTGTCTTTATTTCTATCGAAACTGTATTCAATCTTACAGTTGCCAGCATTTCTTGCCTGATTCATAGTTAAAGAATATTCCTAGAAAAATTAGGACTATCTTAGTATAATGTATAAAATCAGGCTACTTTGTGGCATATTTTAATCACTTTGAGATTAAACCATTGGATATAGGTATCTCTAAATATCTAATATTTAATATTCTAATAGGGTATCTCTAAATACAGCAAGATACTGATTGTTAAATCGATTAAGGATTTTTTATTATTCAAATGGCCACCATATGAATAAGAACACCGGCTACTACTTTGCCATTGAATTATGTATCAATGTGAGGGGTTGACCATCTATTATTATTGATTCGAATTAGATTCGCAAACTTATGATATAAATAAAATAAAAATTCTAATACGTAATCTATAACATTTTTAAATATGACACCTAATGTCATTATTTACATAACAAACATAGAATAACAATATCAAAAAAATTTGAATTAATTTGAAGACAAAACGTCACTTAAGCCTTCAAAAGCTTGCTGATGCTCAGATTGAGTTGAACTTGCATAAGAATAAATCTGCTTTTGAATCTGATCGAACTGATGCAAAATATCCTGAGTTGTTTTTTCCAATTTAGTGCAAGATTTTTCTTTCTCTTCATATTTCTTTTTGAGATCATCAAGTTCTTTATTAAGTGTTGGGAAACAGCTCTTCTGTATTTCTACTTGTTGTTTTCGCTTTTTGAGCTGATTTTCAATTTCATCAAGTGATTTATTATTTGATTCGCAAGCAGCTCTTCGTTTTTCGAGATCTTTCTCTTGTGCTTCCATTCTCTGGATTTCTGCGTTCTGTATCTCAAGTTTCCTCTTCAATCTTGCAATTTGGCCGTCAAGATCTTGTATTTGAGATTCAAAATCTGTATTTTGCTGAAAAGACTGGTCAAGTCTGCTTGTCAATTCTTTTAAACTCTGGCTACTTTGATTTACATTGTCTAACTCTGTTTGAAGACTGTTTAATTCCATTAATCTGACTTTTTGCTCTCTAGTGAATTGTTTTTGCTTTGCATCTGCATTTTGGATGCGTGCATTAGCTTCTAATAATTTATCTTCAAGATCTTCCTTTTCTTTAAGAAGCTTATTGTATTGCTCTTCATCGAGTAAATTCGTTAAGATTGTATTAAGTAAATCTCTTGCGCCTTTGTTAATACCCTCCTCTTGGTATTCTATTTCCTTTAGTTTAATTAATTCTTGGTCAAGTTCTTTTTGTTTATTTATAATATTTTGTTGTTTTTGCTTAAGTAATTTGGATTTTGATTCGTTTTGATATCGTATTTTTTGTAATTCTTCGATTTCGTGAGATTCTTGTTCTTCATGAAATGATTCTTGTGGAATTTGTTGTTCTAAACTTTTAATTTCTGTTTCTTTATCAATTATATCCTTATTTTCTTTATCTTTTCTTGCAGCTTGATCTGATATTCGCTTTTTTGCCTTTTCTTCTCGATCGATTAACACTTGTTCGAACTCATATAAGTTTGTTGCTAGTTTTTCAAGAATGCGTGTTCTATCGGCTATATTCCCTGAACTTTGTTGTAATTCTCTTTTCCTACGTTCAAATTGTTCGACATCTGCGTAAAATCTAGCGAGTTCTTGCAAATATAATTGTTCATCTGCAGATAATCTTGCTTCTCGATCAATTAAATTCGAATCTGACACACTAGAAAATGATTTTCCAAACGGCGAGGATCTTGGAAGTGTTTTTGGTGATAAAAGAGAAGAATGATGACTAAAACTCATTTTTCTGTTAATTTTTTCTTCTTCCTCCCCCTTTATAAATAATTTTTTTAGTCGACCAAGACTTGATTTAAAGGTTATTGCTACAAAACGATATGGTGAGCAAGAAGACAAAGAATGGATCTAAAATTTTCATATGCATTCAGATGATGAAGATCCAATATTTATTGTTAAGGGGAAATCGAATCAAAATATAAATATAGTTCATAATAGTTATAAAGAAAGTGATAGCCATTACGCAGTTTATCAAAACATCGAAACAATTCCACAAAATATCAAAGATATACTTTTTCAACGCAGTTTCTTTCCATTTTTAAAAGCAATAGATCCAATACATTCTATATATTTCGGCCCTCTTCTATTTGATCCAGAAACTCCAGATTTTTCTGGTCAATTTACAATTAACGAATTTAGTGCAAAATTGATCAATCCCGGAAGAGCTTACATCATTTGTATTAGTAAATCCAATGATCCAAAGATATTTTGGCCAGCTAAATTTTCATTTTCTATTAATTCCAAAATTTTCAATATACCAACTGGTAGTCCAACCCCAGAAACAATGAATTTCTGGATTGATATTACGAACGCATTAAATTTAAATCATACAAATACTATTAACATTTATTCTCAAAGAGCTAATGCATTAACATCATTTTATGTATTTGGTATTGTATTGCTTTCGTTAACAAATGCAGAACTTATACAATCAATTGAAAAACACGAAAATCAAGATAATTTTAATATTTTATACAAGAAAAGTAATCCAGATGACGAGGACGTTGGTGAAAAATTTATATCCTTACCACTTTACTGTCCTCTTAGCCAAGGGAGAATCTCTATTCCTATTAGAGGAGTTAATTGTGAACATTTAGCCGCAATGGATGCAGAATCATACTTTTCTTTTATGAGATTTGCTGGAACTTGGACATGTCCTATATGCGGAAAGTCTTGTAAACCTGAAGAACTTTATATTGATGATTGTTTTCACGAAATTATAAAAAGATGCCCAATGGATATGGAAGCTCTGAAGTTGAAATATCTTGGTAATTAATAAACTTGTATTAATTTTATTCATGCGAAAAATATTTTTTTTTATAATTCTTCAGTTTCATTTTAGAATATCTGATGACTATAAATGCTTACTTTGGTAAAGGCATTATCTACGTAAAATCATACTAGATTGCAATCTCCAATTTGTAGAAATTGAAACTATTTAAGTTGAAGATTGTGAATTAAATAGTTGACAAATTTCTTGATGGTTTTTAGACTCTGCAATTTGAAATGCTGTTTGATTGAATTTATCTTTTCTGTTGATATCAGCTCCATGTGAGATAAGCGCCATTGCTGCTTCTTTGCTATTATATTCTGCTGCCATATGAAGCGATGTACATTCATTATTATCAATTTCGTTGATATTAGCACTACGTGAAATCAGAAATTCAACCATATTTTTATTATTCTTCCAAGCTGCTAAATGAAGAGGAGTCCTTCCAAATTTATCTTTTGCAGATAAATCTGAACTGTGCATAATAAGAACTTCGGCAACTTCTGGGCTATTATACATTGCTGCAATATGAAGAGGGGCTCCTTCAAAATTACATCTTGAATTAATATCTGCACCAAGCGATATAAGAATTTCTGCAATTTCTTTACAATTCATTTCTGCTGCATAATGAAGAGCAGTTTTCCAATAGATATTAGACTTTGAATTGATATCCAGGCCATATTTAACAAGTACCTTTGCAACTTCTTTGCTATTGTAATCTGCTGTACAATGAAGAGCATTTTTCCCACTTTTATTCTTTGCATTGATATCAATGCCATGCAAAATTAGAAATTCTGCTGTTTCTTTATTGTCATTTTCTACTGCACAATGAAGTGTTGTATTTTTATTTTCGTCTAGTTCATTAATGATTGCTCCATTGGAAATTAGAACTTCTAAGACATCGCTATTACCATGCATTGCTGCATAATGAATAATAGATCTTTTAGAATGAGATCCACATAGAACTATAGGGGAATTTACATCTACACCATGTGTAACAAGATAAATACATAGTGATGGAATTTGATATAAAATAGGATAATTAATTCTTTCTTTGAAATCATTTGTTTGGTCTAAATAGATGAAAAATGCTTGAAGGTTATGATATTGAAAACATTCATCAATGCATAACCTTCAAGCATTGGTGATATGAAGATGGATAAAAGTCACTTTGCAATACATAACTTTCGTCAAAATCTTCTCTTTCGCTGTATACGATCAATGATTCCAGGTCATCATTCATAATAACTCTATGGATTGTGTGTTCATTATGAACATCGAGCGAATGAAAAATTGAATTAATTTTAGAAGAATTAAATTTTTTTCGTCTAATATAATTCCATATTCTTTATAAACAAAGTAATAAAAAACAGGAGAAAGATTTTCAACCTGTTTTGGATGATATTCTTCAAAAAACTTTTTGAATATATTCCAATATGACTTATAATAGCGGCAATTGAATCGAGAAGCTGTCGAAATTATTTGAAATATATGAGTTGGTAAAATTATTTTTGATTCGAGTAAATTGATTTTAATATCTTTGTAAATTTTACTTATTTCATATTCATCGAATGTCCTAAGTCTATATATTGCATTTATAGTGTTAATATAATCACTACAAAGCTCTATGAGTTCATCATAAACTCTTTTCTCCATGAAAATACATTTACGACTTTATCATAAAAAAACTATGACACCCGATGGTCAAAAATTGAAAATATAATGAAGTTCACAAATGCCCTTTTTGCTTGATACTTCAATTTGCGAAAAACTGTTTTATACTCTAATTTGAAGAAACCAGAATTATCAAAAATTAGTATGCAATGAAATGGAAATTATAACTGGTCAATTATCATAAAATTTGTCACCTCAAACATGCAATTTTGATTTTCAAAATTTTAATTCAACTCATTATGAAAAAACAATGTTTTATTTTAGTTTTAGAGTTAAAGAGCTTCTATTGATCATATAGATGCTTCGCAATTCAGATATTTTGCTTAGAAAATAATTGCCAACCCAAAGAAAAAAAGGAACGTAATTGTATTTCGCGATGAAAAAAAATTTAGTTAATCATTCAGTAAGTTTTCCAGATTGGATAATGTGGATAATGTGGGTAACGTGGGAGCCATGAGTTTGATTCAGCTTCTTGGCCGAAAACCTTGTGCCATGCAGCCTTTCCACCTTCGACGATGGCCTGAGCTGCAGCGGATTTAGCGGCATCCTTGATAATTTCTTTGATAACTGGGCCCCATGGGTTGGATTCATCTTCTTCCTCTTCAGCGTTTGCGCGATGGATTGGGCGTGGGAATGGGAATGGGCGTGGGAATGGGAATGGGCGTGGTAATGGGAATGGGCGTGGGAATGGGAATGGGATGCGTGGATCTGGAATACGGATTGGAATATGTGGCAAGAAAGCGTTGGATTCAGCTTCTTGGCCGAAGACCTTATGCCATCCCCACTTGCCAGCGGCAATAGCAGCTTCTGTAGCAGCAGAAATAGCAACTTCCTTTGCAATAGCAATAACGATTGGCCAAACATTTTCTGGGTCGACTTCTTCGTCGGCATTTAACAAAAAGCGTGGGTCGATGTAGTTAGATTCAGCATCCTGGTGACGAAGCTTGCCACCAATCCACTTTCCAATTTCCCAAGCGGCAGCATATGCGGCCTGTTCAGCAAGCCAAGCAACAACTGGGCCAATGTTCTCTGGGTCTTCTTCTTGTTCAGCATTCATAAGAACTGGTCTTGGGAATGTTGGAACTGGTCTTGGGAAGCATGGGCCTGGTCTTGGGAATAATGGACCTGGCCTGTAAATATCAGGGGTGTGAATGATCTTAGATGAAGCTAAGATTGCGAAAGCAAACATTAATAAAATGATGATTTGAGAATTATCTCAAATCGAGCAGTTTGTCTGTCAGATTGCCACATGATTTTATGGATGATTTTAACTTTTGAAATAAGATTGCATAAGACTTTATTTTATCGGATCATATGACTTTTGAATTTGGACAGAATGTCAGACTTTTTGAATTTATAAATAGTTCGATATCCTTAAATCACTGTCGTAATTTTTCATTAAAATTGAAAATTAAAAAATTGAATTAAATAAGATTACAAAGAAAATCAGATCACATGAGTCCATTTTTTAATAAATTTTTCGAATTATGAAAGATATCTTTTCCTTATGTAATAAACAGAAATTCATCAAAAGTGACAGCTCTCAATTTTTTGACATTTGTAAATTCTAAATTGAATGAGAAAAATGAAATAATACTAAGCATAATACAATATTCTAGATTTAATTATAATTAGGAAAAAGTTAGTTTTGAGAGTACTTTTCATAGGCATATAGAATGAAATCTTCTGAAAAATAATATCACATAAACTCATATTATTTTCTAATATATAACTATTTTATATAAAAATCAAATTCAATGATCTTAAAAGCGAAGGATAAACCTCAAAATTTACGAATATAATGAGTGGGAATATAATGCTTATCTATCATAAAACCATATGAAATATTAATTTTTGCTTTACGCCTAATTTTTGACGACAATTAGCAAAAAATGTTAAATGTTAACACTCAGTCCATTTGAATATGAAAAATAAAATTGACTTTGATTAAATGTTTTTATTTATCATGCAATTCTTCTTGCGACCAAAGATTTGAATAAAAGTTCAAAAAATAAGATAGCTTAAGAAATAATATACGGTAGTGTTTACTAATAGATGAATAGTATATAAATTCTATTAAAATGGATTTGATCCAAAAAAATATATAGAATTTGATCATAAATAAAATCGTTTTAAATTACTTCTTCATTTAAATTATAACAATTATTTTTGGTTTTATATCATTAAAATTAATGGATTCTTTTTCGAGATTCAATTTCAAATATCATCCTGTTTTGCAGTCCACATAAATCAATAACAATTTATCATTTAAAAATAAATTCAAAACGATCTCTCCTATTTAAAAGAAGTAACCCATTGTTCTTGAAAATATTATTTCTTTGACTTGTTTATTTTTGATAAATGCATAGTTTATTCATCAGTCTATGGGAATATACCCTGATATTTGTATTCAGTATTCAATTTCAATGAGAAAATTTAAAAGTTTAATGAATAGATCAAATTACGCTAAAGCCAGGACTATAAAATCCATACTATATGTTTTCTATCCTTATAGATAGATTCTTTTTGCTGTATTTAAAAATTAGGTCATATAAAATTTAATATTTTATTTAGTAAACAAAATCTATAGTAATAAATATGATTTTTTCCTTAACGCACGTGCACGGACATAGTTAGTCCATTTTTTTCAAGTTTCCAAGTGCACAATTGTAAGTATAAAACAGAACTCCAACAATTATTATACCTATTGAAAGAGATAGTGAAATAATTGCCAAATTGCTCTGCGATATGACGTCAAAAATGGAATCATCAAGATTATAATTTTCTTCATTAGCTTTTCCATCAGTTATACTCTGGTAGAATTGCTCAAGTTCTGTTATATTCGAAGATTTTGCAAATTTGGCGAATTTCTTTGTATTTGGATCAAATACAACAATCGCCGGAAGTTCTTTATTAGAAAGACCAAATTTACTAGCAACAATTTTAGTACCAACTGATTTGGAATGGCCAAACGTGGAAATCCTTGAGAAATGATTGGCACACTTTCTATAAAACAGATTATCCATTGATGTACGCGGGATATAGATACTAAACAACTTTTGAGACTCTAAAATACTCTTAAAGTCCCATTCTTCTCGTATATCTGAAGTAAATTTGAGTAAAAAGTTAATGACGTTCTGAAAAGTTAATGGATCTTTACACTTGATAGAGTTTGTTGAAGAAAAATGGTAAATTAATGTTCCATTTGGTCCAGCTTCAGTTGAATTTCTGTAATAAGCGTTAAGAGTCTTAAATTCTGGTTTTCTGAGTAAATATCTAGCATAATTCAGCAGTGTTAAGTTATTTGGCTCTTCGAGGAATTCTATGTATGGAATTTTATCGATTTTGTATTTTTCATCTTTAATTTGAGTTAAATTCGAACCATATACCTCTTCCATGACTTCGTATCCATAGTTTACCATATAGTCGTAGTTCGCTTTGCAAAATTTATTAGTCTTTTTGCCTTGATATAAAATAAAATACGATGGATATCCAGATATTGAAAATTGAGAGCATACTTCGCGATTTGCCTCACATTCTACATCTGTTGTAATAAGTTCTTCGAAGTCTGCGAAATAATTTTGCATTTCATTAAAAAAAGGATGAGCATGCTTGCAATGGCCGCACCAATTCATATGTAACATAGCTATAATTGGTTTATCTGAGTGTTGGGAAACATAATTACTGAAATTGGATTTATCCAAAACGGCATGAATCATCAAAGATGTGAAAATCATTTTAATGATTTCTATAATAGTGAAAATTGTTGCATGCGAAGTAGTGTCAACGATAGAAATTGAGAGCCTATTAATCGTCGAGGAAGTACGATTATTTTTTGGGCGAAAAAGTATCTTAAAATATGATTATTAATATGTTTTTAAAATAAAAAATTTGAAAGTTAATTTGAGATTCTCATATAATTTTTTGAATGAAAAAAATAAATATAGTCTATATGAGTTTTTGATTAATCACACTTGAGATATATCTAAAAAATAATTAAAAATAGAGTTTGAGAAGACTTTTCAAGGTGTAATGAAAAGAGAGGTAGGGCAACGATAGGTCAAAAAGGCTTCTCTGATAGATTTCCTTGCCTTTTGGATATGCTATAATATATAGCCTAGCATGATAGGATATGATGTCAAAAGTTAGAACATAACTTAGGATCTTGAGAAAAATGAAAAACAAAAATTACATAAAAAAAGAAAAATTTTATCTAATTTGTTTTTTTGGACCGAATAAGTAATTTTATTGAATTTCAATACGACACATAGATTTTATTATTAGTAATAAATATAATGGTTTACTATTAACAAGGAACCTAAACTAATGAAAATTTGATTTCAAATATTGTATATGATTATCATAGATTACCAAAATATATTGCTATTTATGAGGATATAATATTGATTATTAGTAAATCGTATAAATTTAATAAATATACCATGAATATTGAATGAATTTCTTGATTCATAGGGGTAAAACGCGCTTTTATATGATTTAGACAGAGAATTTATGAGATGTAAATAACACAATAAAGGTTTATATTGAATATTTTCTAAAAATAAATCGAAATTATAAAAAACAATACATTTATTCATTGAAACTACTTGGACAAATATGAAACAAGCATTCAGGCAATACTTTTGAGACTTCAACGCATCTGATAATTTTTATATAACTTCACCTCTTATGCTTAGAGTGGAGGTATTGAGATCGTATAAGTATAGATGAGCTCACATTCAGATATGATGTGTGAACTTCTGTTTTCACTGCAATTTTGAATCAGAATAAACTCAAAACAAGAATAAAATGATATACTCACTCTCTAAATGTGTTCGAGATTTAAAGTTGTATGAATAAAACGATTCATCTTTCGAAGCCTCCATTTAATGAGAGACTTCGAAAGATGAATGTATTCATGTAGATGAAATACTATATATGACCATGTGTGATACTAAAGATATCAAAATGTTCATTTTTAAGTGCAATAGAAGGGTTATCTCTCGTAAAATCTCAAATTAAGGAAGATTTAGAAAGAACTCCTTTCCTAAGTAGATAGTGTGTGGTTTCTGTCTTTTGGTTGATCAGGAACTATGAAATTAAGTCGGACAGAAAGAAGTTCTTTCCAAAACAGACTCCAAATGAGTTGTTCGAAAAGAACTTCCTTCTGTATATGGATAATTGTAGTTACCGCACTGAAGTATGTGATTGTGATGATGGAGTTCTCGATAAATCTAAAATCGGATTAAGATTAATTGAAAACTCAAGTAATTCTTTGAAATCTTGTGTTGTCTGGCACTATAATAACCAAAGAATGAGAATATTATGTTGAATGATGAGTACGTGTGCTCGGCATTCGCCGAGCGAATTGAGTTTAACGTACTATGAAAAGTGACAAATTTGGGCTTTTTTTCCTAGGGTTATGATCTCTTCCTTTCTGCTCAATACGACAGAAATGAAAGAATGAATTTGTACTCCCTAATTGATTACTACAATCTGTATCTATCTTTAACATAGAATTAGCTGCATTGTGATTTATACTCCAGAATTATTCAATTTAAGATCAACCTCGTAAATTTTAATCATATTGCACCAATACTCCTACGTTGAGATAAGAACATGATTATACATACCAAAGCCCCATATTAAAAATCAAAATTTAGCACCTCCATTATGCAACCACATTATTCGTCGCAAATAAGTATATTTACGCATATTATGATGCATATTCACACAACTCGTATACATGAAAAGTTATTAAAATCAGACAAAATTATTGCAATAAGGGAAAAAAACAACTTTATATATATGTTAGTAATGAATTACAAATATTTCTACAAAGAATGCTGAATACTTCATATAATCTTCGAATATTTCTTATTACAAGTTAATACATTTTGACTCGAACATGATAAACAAAAGCCGACACGCTGATTACTACATTTATGAAAATATAGTACGTTTCCATTCATCTGTTTACTTGTTTTTGTTGGAATAAAATCATTTTTTTTTTCTTTCATGAAATAAGAATTTTGCTGCGAAAGCAATATCTCTAACAATAATTAATACATTACGTCAACTCTGGAATGAGTATTTATCAAATATGATATCAAAATCAAAAATTAGTTGTTTTTTATGAGTAAAAACGATGTAAATTGATTATTTGACTAATTATCAAATACTTTGATTTTCCAAATTTTTTTCGAAATTGATTTTTTCATGTGAAATTCAAATTGTTTAATTTCATTTTTGAAATTTTGAATTTTTTTTGGAATTTTGAGTTGATCAATTCAGCAGAATTGATAATGCTATTGCTTTAGGGCATACCACAAGGTGATGAATAAAAGGTGAACATTAACAAATTATTTTAAATCACAAATATCATCCTCATCAACTTTAATTCTAAAAAGAACTGTACTGAATTATGAAAATGCATGATTTACATTATTAAAATCTTTGAATGAAAATAGTACAAGATAAGTTTTTATTCATTTTTAATTAGATTTAAACGAAAAACTACTCCATATTAAAATTTAAGTCGAGAAATCGTATTTTGTTCTTATTTGTTAGCACTTTGTAGACATTCTAATCTTGAATTAATTTGTTACATGATATTATTAACAAATTTAACTGAAAAAATATGTTAATATGGAATAAACTATGATTATATAAGCTATCAATGCTATATATACATATGTAAAAGATTCATATTAACTCAATTAACAAAAATGATAGATTTTCATAAAGGTTCAATCTAGGTTCGTCCGAAAATTTTGATTTTTATATAGAAGACATAGTTTCATATACATAATTAAATTTTCAAACAAATTTGATCATACCATTTATTAAGCAGGATAGTATATTAATTACTATCAGTATAAAAATATAAAAATGATTATATTTAATTATTGCATAATTTAGTCAAAGAGTTATAAGCCTCAAGTGATCGTTATCACCTTCAATGCACGTATACTTTATTGATTCATAGATATTTAATCTATGTTTGACATGTTGTTGTCGTCATTCGTTTTGTTCCCATTCTTCCTAAGTTAGAATTAGAGAATACACCATCCACATCATCTAATTTGGTCCTCAGCGATAGATTGGTTCATTTTGGAGGAGTCCCATCAGACAGTTTTCGAGCACCAAATATCAAATTTTAATGTATACAAATCTTTAGTGATTTATCTCTTTTATGATGAGTAAAAGGTTTCTGCTCATCAACATTTGATTTCCGACATATATGATTTCTAATTGCAATTATTTACTTTCTTTTTATAATCTAACTCTGTGACTCATACCATAAATTAATTATTGGAAAGTGTCAATATGTTTGGCACAACGCATGGCGGAAGATACCAAACCATGCAGGGAATATGATACGTTTAAGATCTCCGAACTTTTTTTCCAAAATTTTTCTATCGTTGCCCTACCTCTATGAAAAGTGTGATATAGAAAATAATTATAGATATTTTAATTTTATATATTGTGCTAAGCATTATATTAAATTTTTAGGAAAAACACTTTTCATAAGTATTCAATATTTGAAAATACGCTCCAAAAAAGAATAGATTCTTTTATATTCGCTTATATAAAAGGAGACTCTCTATCAGATGCGAATGCATGAATTCAGCACCTCTAATAGAGAGTTTCCTCTTATATAAGCGGATCTTTTTCATGAGTTATTGTTAATATAAAAACATCAAAATCTACCAATATGAGAAATTAAACCCTGCGAGGCACCAGTCTAGAACTGGCACTTCGCAGGGTTGAATTTCTCTTGACAAAATACAATAATCAAATGCTCCAAAGTTTTCAAATTTTTATTAGGAATAGGAGCCTACAAAGCACTGATTATATATCAGTGCCTGGTAGGCTCCTATTCCTTCTCTAAATGGGAGAAACTTTGTTTGAATAAGATAACATGCGAACAAAGTTTCTCCCATTTAGAGTGGGATTTGGAGGGTGGGAGGTACATAGATAGACTATGTATCTCTCACCCTCCAATTCCCTCGGGAAAGTTCGAAAACTTTGGTGCAATCAGCAACGATTGCACCAAAGTTTTTGCGTTTAATTGAAGGAATTGCTCTTTATGATATATACAGTTACAATGCATATATCATAAGGAGCAATTCCTTCCAGATATCTGGCAAACTTGCTCGCAATGGTTCACAATTGCGAACAAGTTTTGTCATTTGTCAAGAGAAATTCAACCCTGCGAAGTGCCAGTCTAGAACTGGCGACTCGCAGGGTTTAATTTCTCATATTGGTAGATTTTGATGTTTTTATATTAACAATAACTCATGAAAAAGATCCGCTTATATAAGAGGAAACTCTCTATCAGAGGTGCTGAATTCATGCATTCGCATCTGATAGAGAGTCTCCTTTTATATAAGCGAATATAAAAGAATCTATTTTTTTTTAGAGCGTATTCTCAAATATTGAATACTTATGAAAAGTGTTTTTTTCTAAAAATCTCAGAATATATTTACAATAGTAAAATAAATAAGATATTTAAATTTATTTTTAAATGCTTTTTTTATATGAGATTCTCAAAAGTTATATCAAAAGTCTGTTTTTTCTAAAATCTAATATCATAATCTATTTCTCATTTTAAGTACATCTTAATTCATTTTATTTTCTATATTTTTTCAATATTTTTGAGGGAATTGTGTTGCTTCCCCGACAATAAAATTGAGAGGTTTACACATTGACACTACTTAGCATGCAACAATTCCAAATGCTAAATATCACAATTTTGTCTCAAATATAAACAATCTGTTAAATAAGATAAGGTCAAAATCAAAATCTATTCTTGATTTATTGACTGTTACTTGAAAAAGTGAGAGTAACAATAATTTTGTTAAAAATTTATACAGAGCAACTAATGAATTGCTTCTCTTTCTTATGAATTTCTCAAAAAAACAGGGATAATTCATTCAAAAAATAACCTCATGTTAGTGAAAAAATAAACTTATTAATAATATCATCTATAAGATTGAATTTATAAGTTCTGATTCAAAAAATTTTCAAAAAGTGAGCTATTATCGGTTTTAATGGGAAGATAAAATCAAACGGTTTGACACAAATCCAAAATTTTAAAAAACAATTACATATACAAATATAATTAGAATTATTTTTTAAACAGGCCATTGAATCATCCAAAAATCTGACAAAATAACTTCTTTAAAACAAATCTTATTACAATCATGTAAATATCACTAACATATTTTATTTCTCGAATAAATTTTTGATAAGTAAACTTATGAAAAAATTGGTCGAATTCAATGTGATATTGAAATCCTAGATTTTTTGATAACTTACTCTCAAAAATTCCCGAAGTTCATTATTCATCAAATGCAGCAAGAACATTCTAATTGCCACCTTCACATGAAGAAGAGGATCAATATGCACAGATCCAACTCAACAAATGCCCTCTTTAATAATGCCCACACTGGCTCCGGAACTGAAATTATCTTTTGCAATCCAGTTTCTCCAGAATATGTTCTTAGAAAGTATTCCCTTAATCTTTCAGAAGAAGACAGAGAAGAAATTAAGAACTATAATGAAATTTATTATATCCATAACAATTCTAATACAAAATGCTGGATGACTGAAGATGATTTCATCTACTATAACTTTAACAAGGACAATCATATTGCTTTTCGTTACCAACAGCTTCAATTCCTTGGTCGTGGATCATTCGGAACCGTAATTAAGTGCTATGACCACAAATTAAAGATGAATGTAGCTATTAAAGTCTTAACAGAGTCTGACGATGATAACTTTCTTATCAACCGAGAAATTAATTTTCTCAAGATCCTCAATAAGGAAGAAGAGAAATCCAACTCATCGAACATTTTAGAACTCATTGATACATTCAGACAGCATGGATTTACATTCATTGTTACAAAATATTTCGAAGAAAACCTTTACGAGTATATCACAAACCAGTCGTTTTCCCAGAACTTGAGCCTTCATGATATCAAAAGAATTGCTAAGTCAGTTGCTCAAGCCCTTTATACTTGCCATCAATGCGGAATCATCCATTCTGATTTAAAGCCAGAAAATGTTGTCCTTAATGGAAACGAAGTCCGTTTAATTGACTTTGGTTGCGCTTCATTCACTGGTGAAACAGTATACCAGACTGTACAAAGCCTTTATTATAGAGCTCCGGAAGTTATTTTCCAAAAGGGCTTTGGCAGTTCAATTGATGTCTGGTCATTCGGTTGCTTACTTTTTGAGATGGTTACTGGCCAACCATTATTCCTTGTCAGAAATGAAGGTGAGTTGATTTCTCAAATTAAAAGAATTCTTGGTGATCCTTCATATGAAATGATCCAACAATCAAACAAAATGAGGAGATATTGGTTCAGAAAGCAACTTATTAGGGATACAACAGGCAGTTTAAAGAGAAGTTTCATTGGATCTTATGTTAGAAACTCAAACAAAGAGATCATTGATCTAATTAGCTCATGTTTAACATGGGATCCAAAGGAAAGACCATCGATGAGAGAAATTCTTGATTCTCCTTTCTTTAATTAATAGAATTTATATATTTTTTTGTATGTTGTTTGTAAATATGTATTATTTCAATTTTCATTTGTTTAAGTCTAATCTGAGAGAAATAGGTTATTTGACCAATTTGATAAAATACATTTTGATTTAATTGATTGGCAAATTAAAATTTTGATATCCTTACATTATGTCAACACAATACAACAATAAAGAATCAATATCAAATTTCTCAATGATGAGTCTTTGATTTTCCAAACCAAAATTAAGTTATCAAACAATTTTTTTACTAAATTGCTCATGCATGTGCCATGAAAATCCTTATGCAGTCACTCACATTTCACTTTCTTTTATTTCTAATTTCGAAATTTTTAAAAAATATATACAATATAAATTTGAATATTAATTATCAATTATTATTTTTCATATACTATCTTTAATATATGGCTATGGCATTCCAAACGGGAACCGCGGTTGGTTACCATGGATTTCCGTCACCGGTCACATTTTAAAGATTTTTAAAGCCTTATAAAAATATGCTTTGTAAATCATTTTTTGTAAATCGGCAAAAATTTGGTAATTTTCTTCGACTAATAAATCTGCGAATAGCATTTATAATACAAGAACAATCTTTTAAAATGCGTTTGATTCATTTTTGTATAATTTCATATAGGCACATATATTCTTCCGGGACTTTCCGTGATTTTACCGTAAAATCATTAGTTTACACCAATTTTCCCGTATTTTGAATAGTTTACTGCACTTTTTCCGTAAAATTGAGTTACGGGAATCCGCAAAATTTCCGGACCTCATTTTTCATAGAATATAATAATAATATTTGATAAAAAGATATATTATTTATATTTTTGATTTTTGAATTACGGAAAATGTGAATTGATAACTTGATTTTTTTATATGGTTAATTTTTCAAATGATATTATGAAGATCTAAAATATTAAAAGTAAAAAATTGAATTACGGAAAAAGTGAGGTCAAAAGTGAAATAAATTTGCAGAACAATTTTCATTGAAATAAGACATTGAGTATCACACTTTAGTGAATCAACATCTATAAGAATGAAGTGTTTTGAAGCTGAAATAATATTGAATAGAAATTAATTTTTTCTGAAATTTTGAATGAAATTATGGGAAATAAAAAAATTACTAAATATTGTATTCATACAAATATATTATTTTAAAGGAAAAATAGATGCTGATAGAAACGATGAAAAATTTTGAAAACTTTACAATTAATTTATGTTCGTTAACCACAGAGCTTGCAATCCAAAGCTCACGTTAGACTACAAGAGTCATGAAGTCTCATACTAAGGGATATCCAACATATATTTTAATAATCTAATGTTTGTGACAAATATTCAACATAAAATTAAGTTTTCGTTTCGTTACAAGGCATTCATACTTTGGAGATATCATATTTAATGTACAGAAAAGTTAATATTAAACAATACATGCTAAAGAATTAATAAATAAGATAATAAAATAAATTTATACGTAATTACTTTCATTTAATATGCTTTATGCTGTATAATATTGATTAAGAGGCATTAAAAGGTTCCATAGTCTGCTTTTATAGGCAAGATTTTTGATAAAAATTTAAAATTTTGAAAAATGATGAGAAAAGGAAAAAAAAGGTAAATGAGAGCAAGAGGAGGGAAAAAAAAGAAAAAGAAAAGAAAGGGAAGGGAAAAATAAAAGAAAGAAGGACATATAAAAATTTAGATGCGCATTCTTAATGCCGAGGCGGCTTGCCGCCGAGGCGCGATTTTTTTAGGCCTCTACGGTAACCCGGCAATGTTTTTTTAAATCTTGTACAGCCCTATATATGGCATTCCAAACGGGAACCGCGGTTGGTTACCATGGATTTCCGTCACCGGTCACATTTTAAAGATTTTTTAAGCCTTATAAAAATATGCTTTGTAAATCATTTTTTGTAAATCGGCAAAAATTTGGTAATTTTCTTCGACTAATAAATCTGCGAATAGCATTTATAATACAAGAACAATCTTTTAAAATGCGTTTGATTCATTTTTGTATAATTTCATATAGGCACATATATTCTTCCGGGACTTTCCGTGATTTTACCGTAAAATCATTAGTTTACACCAATTTTCCCGTATTTTGAATAGTTTACTGCACTTTTTCCGTAAAATTGAGTTACGGGAATCCGCAAAATTTCCGGACCTCATTTTTCATAGAATATAATAATAATATTTGATAAAAAGATATATTATTTATATTTTTGATTTTTGAATTACGGAAAATGTGAATTGATAACTTGATTTTTTTATATGGTTAATTTTTCAAATGATATTATGAAGATCTAAAATATTAAAAGTAAAAAATTGAATTACGGAAAAAGTGAGGTCAAAAGTGAAATAAATTTGCAGAACAATTTTCATTGAAATAAGCTTTATTTTTCATTATTAATAACAATGCAAAAAATATTTATCACGGGTTCAAAATTTAAAATTAAATATTTTAATAATTTACATCTTATTCTTTATGTTATATTTAACCCGTGAAAATATCATTTAAAAATTGAATATATTCAAAAAGCTTTATTTTTATTATGACTGCATGGGATCCTCATGTATATGATGAGTGGATTCCATTTAAGAAGACGAAATATCCACCAACTCCTGAAACATTGGAAACAAAGTGTGGGAAAAAATGTTTCACTACGATCGGCTATTATGAGAATGAGCCTAATCAATCAGACAAAGGAAGGCTCTTTACATACTGTGCCGAATGTAGTGAAACATTAGTTCAAGGGCAGTTCGTGCGATGCATTAAAAAAAGCAGGAAAAATGATTTTAAAGATCATAAGTGCAAATTTTTACTCCCAATGCCCAACTACGTTCCTGCTGAGCACCAAGTTGAGAATACTCAGCAAGCAGTTGGCTCTGGTAATGATCCTTCGTTAGAAGAGATCATTGCCAGGCTTATTGCGAGCCTAGATATAAGCCTTTATGCCACAATGAAGCCAGCATTTAAAAGCTTCCTAGAGAGCTTCGCCAAATGGCTTAAAAATAAAGTCAATCGCGAACAGGGCATCAACTTTACAATCCCAGACATTGAGTTCACACGGCGCGGTGTCAGAGAGGCATTGATTACTTTAGGCAAAACAGACTCCTCTCGGGGCCTAAAGTTCTGCGAGGAATTCCGCATCTTCTCAATTTCCCTGGACTGCGGAACACACGGCAGCCGTCATGGTCTATTCTCTTGTGTGTGCAATCCAGGCAAAACAGATCGCCACCAATTCTTCGACACAACAATTTCGACTAATTGGACATACGAGGACTACCATACGTGGTTTGATTCTCTTAAGGTTAATAAAAACCACGTAGCTGGAGTAGTCGGAGATGGTTTGCCAGCCCAGGTTAAAGGACTCTGCCACTGGAGGCCAGAAGGAGCCCTTTTCCCTGGCTTACAAACCGTGTACATTCGTTGCCTTAACCACGTCTTGAACAATGCTATTGTCCACGCACGTAAGCAATGTCCATTGTTGAATGAACTGATGAATAGAGTTCACCAGATTATCATTATCTTTAAGAATCACGATATGAGAGCGAGATACAAGATCAGGGTTCCATCAATCCCGGAAACTCGCTGGCTCTACATATATGATACTCTGTTTTTCATCTTTGATAATCTGGAAACAATTAATACTGCTTTAAGAAGTGGAGATCTTCCACTATCCCTTTCCAGAGCTACACGTGAACAGTTACAATGGACACGTGATGGAATTCCTCCACTCTTTAAAGATGCTTTAATGATATTCAAGCCATTAAAGCTGTTATATACGAAAACGATAAAAACAGTTTGACAGAAAAGTGACAACTTTACGTGTCAAAAATATAAAAAGTGACATTTTATTCATCATCATCTTCTTCATAATTTATTTCATATTCTTCTTCATATCCACCTTCATATTCTTCACTTTGTCCCTCCTTCTCTTTTTTACCATCTTTATTATCGATTTCTTCTTCCTCATCTTGGAGTTCTGGTATTTCTCTAGCATGTACTGATCCTGGGAGAAAGTCTTGGGTAACTCCATCAACGACCCATTTGGCAGGCATTCCTGGTCTCCAAATGGGCCCCTTCATCCATAATTCATTTGGACTATAATTGATTTTCCTTCCATTGAGAAGACGTGTCGGTAGTGCGGCATGGGGCTTGGAGCTATAGGAATTGACCCAACTCTGAATTTTACTCCATGTTAGATTGCGGTTTTCTATATTGGGCCACAATCGCTCAATCTTACCGTTTTGGTAAGGGCAATGTGGCACAATATAGACATTTCGAATTCCTTTGCATCTCATCGCTTGTAGGAATTCACCTGTATTCTCTCCTCCATTATCAGACCATATGGTATGAGGGGGACCAAAACGTTTTATGGCCCGCTCAATTACCTTAACGGTCTGATTTGCATGTTTGGAGGAGAGATGCTGCCACTCCAAAACCATTCTGGTACAATCATCTATTACTCCATACAATAATTCACTTCTGCGTTTATTGAGAAAGTGAATGTCAACGTGCCAGATTTGATTTGGAAGTAAAGCCTCGTATCTTGTCCTCCATTTAGGTCTCTTGGGTCCCCGTGGACGTGTTAATCCAAGAATGATAAAAGCCTTTTCGACCATATGCCTTGATGGAGCCTGAGGTAGAGGGAGAGGAAGATATTTGATATTTTGTAAATTTATAGCATATGGAGTAGTGTTATCATCTTGATTAATGTCAGCGGGGATTTCTTTAGAGATAAGATTGAGAGGCTTGTCACGTTGCACATTCTGAAACCAGTCCTGTGTTGAGCTCATAACTGGAAGCAGGCCATCTTTCATTCGAACAAAATCTTGTTCATGCTCATGGGTGAATGCTATATCTTTATTAAGCCTAAGGTAAGTGGGGATGATACCATGTCGCCCATGTTGTTCGAATAAATTGAGAATGGCCTGCATGAGATCATCAGGAACTGGTTGTTTGGGTCTACCACGGGAAAGTGGAATATCAACAAACTGGTCGTGCGGACGAGATTGAAGATTAGGAGGATTGGCACGTTGACTTGATTGATCGGAACTGATGGGATTAGGAGCAATTTGATTGTATGTACCAGATGATTGGTTTGAAGGAGTGGCTTGAGGATTTAACTGTTGTGCACTACTAAGAGGAGATGTACCATTGCTGGGTCTGAGCTGTTGTTGTGCACTACTAAGAGAAGATGGACCATTGCTGGGTCTGAGCTGTTGTTGTGCACTACTAAGAGGAGATGTACCATTGCTGGGTCTGAGCTGTTGTTGTGCACTACTAAGAGAAGATGTACCATTGCTGGGTCTGAGCTGTTGTTGTGCGCTATTAAGAGGAGTAGAACCATTACTCTGTGTAATTTCTTGTTCTTCCAAGTATCGATTCAACAAGATCTCATCTTTTGTTGGTAAGACTTCAATGCAATTGTAGAATTTTCCATTATGGAATATGTATAAACTTGTAAATTCTCTGGACGAGTGCTTGTAAAACTCTTCGATAGTAATAAGACGAAAGCACAGAAGGCTTTTTGTAAGTTAACTTGTTAATGCAATTACGTGATGTACCATCGCTGAGTGGAACATTAGTCAATAGCAACGATAACTTTTGATGTTGGTGTAACCTGGTTAGAGATTGCTCTAGCCAGTGAAAGTCTATTTGGGTATAAATATCCAAGAGAATGAATTTTGAATAAATAATAAATTGTGAACAATTGAATAAAATATAGAAAATATAAATAATTTTGAAAGATATTATTGAAAAAATATTTTTCACAAAAGTTGAATTCAAATTGTAAATTTTAAAAAAAATCTTTAAAGTGAAGAAAATAAAATTGGACAATGAGAAAACAACAATGAACTAAAAATTAGTGAATAACTACAATGGCGAAATTAAAATTACGATCAGAATAATTTTTATAAAAGAATGTGTTAGAAATTAGTAACGATTAAGATAAAATAAAAAAAAAAAAAAAAAAGGGAGTGGGGCCTCCAGGCACTTCGTGCCCTCTAGCCCTGAAGATGTTTAGTAAAAAAAAAAAAAAAAAAGGTAGTGGGGCCTCCAGGCACTTCGTGCCCTCTAGCCCTGAAGATGTTTTTCCCAAGACCCAAGAGGAGGACCGAACCCCAGCCGACCAGCCGTTGACTTTTTTGTTTCACTTTTCACAAATTATATATGTTTTCATGTTTTGTCACTTTTCTGTCACTTTTCGGGTAAAAAAATTTTTATTATTATATATAAATGAATTTTACAAAACCACCGTTACCGTTCTTTGGAAATAAGAGTAGATGTAAAGATATTATATTGAGAGAACTTAAGAAACTACCGAATGGTCTAACATTTGTAGATTTGTTCGGTGGAAGTTTCTATATATCCCATTTATGTCATACAATATTCCCAGACTCAAAGATTATATGCAATGACTTCGACAACTATATGGACCGTCTCAAACATATACCAGATACAAACAATATATTGAAAGAGTTAAAAGAAAAGATACCTATAGGTAAGATGGAACGTATACCATTAGATAACAAAAATATTGTGAGAGAGGTTTTGAAAAAAGCAGAATATATAGACTGGGATAGTATATCTGCTAGACTATTATATAGTGGTTCTATAAGAGTTCATGACATTGAAACACTTATGTCAAACGTTTTATATCTTAACTATACAAATGTTTTCAAAGAGGACATAGAAAAATATATTGAGGGTATAGAGTTTGTGAGATGTCATTGGACAGAGTTGTATGAAAAATATAAAGACAAGGAAAATGTTTTCTTTATAGTGGACCCGCCGTTCTATAACACATGGGATTTTCAATACCAAGTAGACTGGACTTTGAGAGACTCTTTAGAAACTTTAGACGTTTTACATAACTGTCCATGCTTTTACTTTACATCCGATAAAAGTGGTTTGGAAACCGTTATGAGATGGTTAGAGGACATACATGACTATGAGTTTAGATATGACAAGATAGAATATGAGAGAGGTCCTATAAACCGGAAAAAGTGTCATAACAAAGAAATTTTATTGGTAAGTAAATGTGGTTTGAAATAGGACTACTTGTTTTAGGTTTTTTCCATTGTGTCATTTATTTATTTGACGTGGCAGAAAAGTACAGAGAATATGAAGATGAACCAATGCCTGCAAATGTTCAGCATATGTACTCGTAAGAGATATTTTTATCTAATATTAAATGGACGCACAGAACTTAGCGAATGCACAGCAACCTGGACAACCAAACCCAGAGAATATTCCAAATGAAGTTAGAATACAAACTGCAATGGCAAACTATGGTCAAGTGCCAACAGATGTACAAATGCAAACTGCCATGTCAAATGACGCTGCGTTAGGTTTGCCACCATGGTATGCAAATATGAGATGGAAAGAGTTTTATACAAACCCTGAAGTGGGATATAAACAACTTTATGCAGATGACGCGAACACAGGAGTTGACCCAGAATATGTTTTCTACCAGAGGAGAAACAGAATGTATGAGCTCCAGTTAAAGAATGCTATGGAACTCAACAGGAAAACGTAAGAGACTAGGCGGACATTAGATTTTTACATATAGTAAAATGGGTTTCTTCAGTAGTATTGGAAACTTCTTCAGAAGAGTTGGAAGAGGTATATGGAATGGAATAAAATCTGTCGGAAGAGGAATTTGGAACGGAGTCAAAAATATTGGTAAAAGAGTAGGTCAGTTTGTTGGTATTATACCTAAAGACCCTGAACCAGAAGAACAAGCTCCTGTTATACAACAGCCTGAACCTGCACCACAGTCTAGTTGGCAACCAAATCCAACACCTCAACCGTATTAAAAAATTATATTTTTACCGTTCGATAGTAGTTGTATATGAAACTAAGTTCTAAGTAAAACGCATGGTATAATGGAATTATTCTTTTTCTTCCATCTGTAGTAAACCATACTTGAAAGTCTGAAATACTTCCACTTGGTTCGTTCGTATAACTTTGTAGGTTTTTCGTAAAAGTCATTTGCCAAGCATAAGAAAGAGTTTTGGGCGCCAGAAAATGAAGCATGAACAATAATAGCAGCTGGGTCGAAAACATTTTCATATGTTCCATTAGGGTTTTCGACTTCATAAAAGTCTGGGTGTACTGGATATGCTGCAGGCTGATTTAACATCCTCATAAATCTATACCATGCCAAGTTGTTATATTTTGTAGAAATATAAACGTTTTCTCCAAGGTCTTCTATTCTATTGATTTTAACAGTTGCATTTTTCCTGTCATAAATAATATCGAGATGGTACTCTCCCTCGTCAATGTTATACTGTTTTGCATATTCGATATAGATATCGTTTATTTTTCTTGAAAAGCTTGAAGAGTTGTTTCTAAGTTTACAAGCAAACTAACTTGTAAAAGTTTTCCCTGTTCAAATTTCTCATACATACGTTTTTCTTTGTTATAGTATCGAACTTCAAAACCGACCGTAAATGGGAAACCATGTATGGCTTCTGAAATGAACTTCATTCTACGAAAGCCAATAGCTTTTGTGACAGATGGGTCTCTTAGCCATCTTAATGGGTAGTCAAAACGATAGCCTTCATGCTTTACGGTCTCTGTCTCAAACTTTTGACCGACATTCGTAAAAAGTTCATCTAATGGTTTAGTTGTAGCAACTCTTGAATTTTCTTTTTCTATTGAAAGCATATTTTATCTAGAATAAAAATGTCGAAAGATATTGCTTCCATAAGAGAAATACAACACAACCGACAACTCATTATGCAAGCTCTAAATAAGAACACAACAAACTTTTCAAACTATTCTAAGATATCTGAGTCATTGAAAGAAGGAAACTTAAAACTGACATTAAACCCAATGACAGATGAGTTTCTGTTTCAAGACAATAAGAACCATACTGTCTGTATAAATCCAACAAAAGGAACTTTAAACGAGAAACCTATAAATGAACTTCTTTTGAAAACAGATGTTGACAACAAAAGCTGACAAAGAATATGTAGACGATGCAATAGCAAAAGAAGAAGAAAGAGCTAACAATGCTTATGCAACAAAAGAACATACTCATCCTGAACTAGCAGACAAAACATATGTTGACAATAAAATGTCAAGTGAAGTGACAAGAGCTGAAAACGAATATTCTAAAAAGACTCATACACATTCTATATCTGAAATAACAGACTTAAATGTTAGCCTTGAAAAGAAAGCGGATAAGGAATATGTGGCTAGTAAGTAGAGAAGAAAAGCGGATAAGGAATATGTGGATGAAAAAGATAACGAAATTGAAAGAAAGGGGACTGTACATGAATGGACATCGAAGATTTAAAAACTAAAGCCGATACAGGATGGGTTCAGGATGTTTAGACCTTAAAGCAGATAAAACTTATGTTAACGATGAGTTAGAGAAGAAAAAGCAGATAAGAACCATACACATACAAGTTTTACAACTGTTGCTATAGAAAGTATTGAAGGAAACGGTTGAGAAACTGGTGGGGATGCATTATATTGTAAACCTCCTAACTTTCCACAAGGTTTAACATCGGATGGACGACATAACGACGATGAGAAACATTAGATGTAAAGATGTTTATGTCAATGAAGGATGAACATAATATTAAATTCACTGCTCAAGATTTATATGACAAGAAAGCAGACAAACAGAGCTTCAAACATTAAAGACAGAAATGCTTCAAACATTATTATCCTATAGGCTCTAATTTATACGTCAATGAACTCTACCAGACCAGAAGTAGTACTTGGTTTTGGAACTTGGACTCAAATAGTCGACAGGTTTTTGTATTGTGCAAAACTCTTCAAAGGAAACAGGTGGAAGTAAAACGATTTCAGGTGAAAATTTACCTGCACACAGTCACACACAGATTTAAGTACAGCTCAAGCAGGTTTGCATAGTCATAGATTTTGGGATTGGTCAGGAATGACAAAAGGTAAAGGATATGATGTTAAAGAGGACGTTAAGTTTGCTATAAATTGTTACTGAATAACACTGAGGGAGGAGGAATCCATACACATCACGTTACAGGATATACGCAAACAACGGACAAAGTAAAGAATACATGCCACCTTACATGACAGTTTACGCATGGTATAGAAATGCTTAGTCGTCATTTTCAACTTCTTAGCATTTCGTCAAGGAGTTGTCTTATATTTGTTAGGAACTGTCTTTGAAAGTATACCACCTTGAACTTTGACAAGTTTGAAACGAGGTCTGACAATAGTAGTTTTATCTTCTGCTTGCAGTCTGTACATTTTGCCATGTTGCCTAAAACTTCATAATATTCTCTTGTATACTTTCTTCTATTTTTACGAACACGAATGTGAGTACCTGTCGAGTTCCCATTGTTGTCATAGTCAATAGTATTTTCATATGGGTCGCGTTTAGGTATTTCTATTTTTACTTTTGTCACCTTTCTGAAGTTTGAAGCCCGGCATTCTTTCTTGTTTGTCTCTTTTGACTAAATTATATAAATATATAGTCTTTCTCTAAGTCAGGGTTGTTTTTCATTTCTTCGGGGGAGTGGTTTCCCAAACCTTTTGTTTACGGCTAATTGTAAATATTTAAAACTTGTCTCATCTTTGCCATGGAGAAGTGTCTATATTTGTCGTCATATGACATTTCATTTGCTTCACCACCTTGTGGTTGGTTTAAGTCTCTTAACATTTTATACAAACCGTCAATGACACCAAGAGCAGAAATGGTTTTGGTCGACAATGAAATATTGGTTTACATTTTTTGAACGCAGATAGTTTTTTACATCATCTGATTTGAAAGAACTTTCACAGTCAGATGTCAGTTTTGTTGGATGGTATTTGTCAACGAATATTGTCAAAGCAGTTTTCACATCTAAAATATTTTTGGACTGTAATGGTATGGCTTCACAGTATCTTGTGTTTTGACCGACAAATATTAGCCAGTATGGTGGTCCATCTGTTCTAACTCTCGGAATGTTTTCCAAGATAATCCATTAAACCAAGCATTTGGTGTTGAACTAAAGATTTTACCATGAGTGCTTTCTTTGTCGCCTTAGAAACATAGGGGTCCTTGTTTGGATTCGTCATTTTTTTAACCATAAGAAATGGGTTTATTTGGCGCATTAGCAGGAGTTGCATCCAGATTTTTGCCCGCAGTTGGAACAATAGCCAGAGGTGTATTTGGAGTTGGAAGGAAGATTTTGAGTACATTAGGTATACTTAAAGAGAAAGCACAACCTATTATACAAACTGTACAGAAAGGTTGGGATGTAGCACGAGATGCAACAAATCTTATTCCAAATCCTGAAACAAGAGGAAAAGTTCAAGGATGGATGGACAATGTAGGAAGACAAGCAGGAAACTATTATACAAAGCAAATGACTACTATAACCAAGCAGGACACTATATGGACCAAGGTGAAAGATTCTTTAACAGAGGATATAACCATGCACAACAATGGGTAAACAATAACCAACCTCAACCGCCTCAAACGTGGGGAATGTAAAGTTTTTTACTGAGATGAAATGAACAATACAGCATTGAGACAAATGAGTTCAAGATGGATTTGTCGGCTTCCAGCAGTTACACCACGTGTTTGTCAGTTCTTCCTATACCTCAGGAAGTTTTAGACCGACTTAAAAAACCTAAAACAACCAGTGAAAACAAACCAAACTAAATTTTTTACTGAGATGAAATGACCGAAGAAGTTGAAACGGTAGATTTGACACCACAAACAAAAGTTCAGAACCATTGTCAAAACCTGTCAAAGAACTTACAGATGAAGAGAAAAATTCAATAATAGAAAGTGCCAGGTCTGGAAATACAAACCCTAACTATAAAGTCACTTTTCATAAAAATGGAACGGCTAGTATCTCAAAAAAGAAACAGACTCTCACAAATAAAATATTGAAGTCTGAAGGAGCTTTCGAGACAACAGATGGAAAAGTTTACTTCACTGACCAACAGTTCATTATAGAACATCTCATTGACTTAGAGTCGAAATATTCTAAACTTTACAACAAACACAAAAAGTTGAAAGGAAAACAAAAACAAATTGTTGCATGCTAAGTTCGGTCAAAATGTAAACCTCTCAATTTTATCGTCGGGGGAAGTAACTCAATTCCTTCAAAATTATTCTTTAAATATTGAATTTAAAGTTATTTAATTTGGATTCTAAATAAATAGGCTAATACAATATTTAAAAATGAGAAAAAATAACTTTTCAAAGAACTTTTCATAATCTCAAAGAAAATTTTTTATTCAATAATTATATAAATTAATTAACATTCATAATGAAATTGGATTTTTTTTATAAAAAATTGGTCCTACTTAACTTTTTGAGAGAATTTGGCTTTCTCGTAAACGAAAAAGGGGATTTGACGGAGTCAAATCCCCGCTCACAAAAAGTGGACTTTACATGTCAAATTTTATATGCATGTAATGTCCACTTTTATGAGTTTTAGGAAGGAATTGGAAGCCATGAGTTACTGACATTGCATCAGTATCTCATAGCCTCCAATTCCTTCAAAAAATGGGAGAAACTTTGTCCGAATAGTTTAACATTCGGACAAAGTTTCTCCCATTTTAAGAAGGAATTGGAGGGTAAGAGATATACCATATGAATGTATATCTCTTACCCTCCAATTCCTTCTAGAAAGTGTCCAAACTTTGGGTTAATTGCAAAGTATTAACCCAAAGTTTGGACACTTTCAAGTGGAGATGGAAGGCTTTGGGGTATATATTAATACAATATACCTCAAAGCCTTCCATCTCCACTACAAATGTGAGAAACTTTGTCCGAATAGTTTAACATTCGGACAAAGTTTCTCCCATCTTTCAATGTAATTGCTACCTGTGAGGTACTGACTTGAAGTCAGTGCTTCACAGGTAGCAATATCCAAAAATTTAAAAACATTTTATCAGTTCGTTAGAGAACTAGAGCCTCCTAGGTACTGAACCAGAATCAGTGCCTAGGGGACTCTAGTGATCTATATAAATCTGAGAAACTTTGAGGAAATTGTTCGACATTTCCTCAAAGTTTCTCAGCAATTTAGCGAGGAATGTTCGTTATCGTGTAGATATTTATAATATATACATGATAACAAACATTCCCCGCTAAAAGATGTAAAATCTTATAAGAAATAATTGCAAAAGAATAACAAATTGCAACAAATTTTATATGAAACTGAACCTTATGAGGTAGTGATTCAAGATCACCGCCTCATAAGATTCAGTTTCAATCTCAAGTATCTCAAAAGTAAGGCTCTATTTTTTGCCATGTAAAGTGTCACTTTTTCTGTCCAAATGATAAGTTATTCAGAGAAAGTTTCCCAGCTATCAAGAGGGAATTGTTCCTTATGAGGTATATATTCATACTGTATACCTCATAAGGAACAATTCCCTCCTTAAAACGAGAAAACTTGTTCGAAATTGTTTATCATTTCGAACAAGTTTTCTCGTTTTTAATAAGAAACTAAAGGCTATGAGGCACTGATTATATATTAGTGCCTCACAGCCTTTAGTTTCTAATAGATAGCTGGGAAACTTTCTCCAAATGATAATATAAGTTATTCAGAGAAAGTTTCCCAGCTATCAAGAGGGAATTGTTCCTTATGAGGTATATAGTTATAATGTATACCTCATAAGGAACAATTCCCTCATTAAAATCGTAGATATTTTTTACTTATTACTCATGCTTTCAAAATCACAATCCTCTGAAAAGTTATTTTTTATTAAGAATTTAGAATTTTGATAAATACCTTTTTTCAATTTGATATAATACTTATATATTTTCAAAAAGACATTTTGAAAAGATATCTCAAAAGTTCTCTGAAAACCTATTTTTGATTAATTTTGAGAAATATCCGTATTAAATTAATCAATAAATTCATTCAACACTACTTTAATTTTTAAATTCAAAAAATTATATGTGCTTCTTAAAATGTCTCACAAAAATTTTATTATAAAATTATATACAATATTAAAAATCCCACAACATTTTTTACTTTACATAATCGTACTTCCTCGACGATTAATTTCCCCTCAATTCCTATCGTTGACCGAACTTAGCATGCAACAAAATGGCATATGATATTTATGAAGATGTTGACGACACAACTGTTCCTGCAAGTGAAGTAAAGTCAGAGAAACCGAAAAGTGACAAAAAACCGATAGAAGAAGAAAAACCAAAAACTGAAGATAAACCAAAACCAAAGTTTAGTTTGGAAACTAAACCAAGTCAACCTTCATTAGCTGGTATGGGTTGGCGTCAAAGACTTATGGCAGCAGGCGGTTATGTAAAGTAAAGAAAAAAATATTTTTTTATTTTTATAAAAATGCCCCCATATAGAATGGATAGAAAGTCTGCTAGAATAAAAGCAGAGTTACAAAGATATGGTTGGAGAGTTTCGAAGAAGTTTAAATATAGGAAGGGAAGACCCATAAAAGTCTATGACAAATTGTCTGGTCTTCGCTACGAAATGGATTTGGAAACAGCACGTGCCAATTATCCAAACAGACTAGAGAGGTTAGAAGAAGAACGTCTTATGGACATGCCTTTCGATGTTAGTGAACCTCAAGCTGAAGGACACGACGGCTTTGCCAGATTCTACTGGAAACATGACGAACAATTGCATCCTTTGAGAAGGAAAAAAGGTAGTGCAGAGGATGGTCATGCTCCCATGGAAAGAACAAGATATGCATATGAGAAGTATCGTGAAGTTAGAAGTCAAATTACATCTGGTCGAACCTTTACAGTAAACTTTGACGAAGGAAAGAACAAAGAAGGCTTCATGGGTGTACTTGCTGCCATACAAGACGGAAATAAGAAAGGACACAATCTCAGATTGACCATAACGGATTTGGATGGTCACATTTACTATGCAAATGGCAATGAACAAACAGCCGCAAAACTTCTTGACGCTTTCAAGACTACAAAGAGAGAACAAATGGTTGACTCCGACTCAGACATTTTGAATGCAATTGAAGGAATTGCAAGTGTCAAGTTCGAATGGTACCAACCTAACCCTCAAGCAGTCAGACAACATGCTGGATACTTTCCGTTCATAAATAAGTCTGACATTGACTTGACAAGGTATGGAATTTACAATTCAATTGAAACAATTGTCAATGAACCTTGTATTCTTACATGTCTCAGGAACTCTGGTCTTGTTACAGATGAGAAGATGAAGTATCTTGAGTCATGTGTGAAGACAAGGTACATTCTCAGAGGTCAATTGGCAAAAATTGCACCGTTGGCAAATGTCAATATCCGAGTCAACATACCTACAGCTAAAGGTTCTTCACATGACGACTATGTTGTTGACAAAGACTTATCATGGTTGAAGATTGCAATTGTCCACAACCACTTCATGTTGAACGAAAGTCTTACAAACCCATTGTTCGGAAAAGGCAAGTGCAACATTGTCAGAGCTGTAAACATTCTTTTCGAGAAAGGTTTGTTGGAACCAATTCCAGATGACAAGCTGACAGAAACTTTTGTACCAAAAGACGAAACAAACTTTTCACTGTTAGCAAGACCAAAAGTTGTTCCAGACAAAGTTCTAGTACAAAAGAAGTACACAATTCCACAAGGAGTTGGATTGTTCGGATACCAACCTGAACCAGAAGAACTTCCAATGAGGTTGCAAGAACTTCAAGATGCTATAAACAAACTTCCATTGAGACATCCAATTGACGTCAAATTGTATTGGAGAGCATCTGAGTTAGGTCAGAAGGTTTTATATGAAACAGGTTGCTTCGACGATGTTTATGAGATAACAGGAGAAGTTTCTCAGAAGATAAGAGACTCACTTGAATTTCCACAAACTGGACCAATTGGTTGCGACAAGTTCGACTCAAACGAAAAGATATACTATGTCGACCTTAACGCTGCGTACATGAGGTTTGTCCAATATATTCCGACTGGAATTCCAAACGAAGATGGTGAGTTCCCGGGAAGGAACTATACAGTTGGAAAAGTCATACAACAACTGTATGATATTAGGAAAGCTTCAAACCCCAAACTTGCAATGACACTCAAATTGCTTATGAATTCGACATGGGGATATTCCATTAAGAAACCTCAAAAGATGAAGAGTAAACATTATGAGAAGGTCGACAACTTTGTTGAAAGGTTTTCTCCTTTTGTTTTGAAGTACGAATTCACTCAAGGTCAAAGTGGCTTAGTAACCACATTAAAACCTATTGTCGAACATTGGTCTTACCCTCAGTTCGCAAAGGCAGTCCTTGACAACTACAACAAATTCTTCTCCGAAGTCAAATCCAAAGTGAAGGTTTACTATGAGAACATTGACGCACTCATGACGAACGAAGAAGGTTTTTATGGGCCTAGAGGGCGCAAAAGCGCCTGGAAGCCCATCCCAAGAAAAAAAAATCTTCATTTATACTAAACATCTCAGGCTAGAGGGCGCAACGCGCTGGAAGCCCCACTACCTTTTTTTTTTTTAATAAAAATTTGGGGGAACGAGAAAAGTGATTGAATATTGGTAAACATGAATTTTTATTGAAAAATAAAATTGAGATTAAGATTCTAAGCAGAATTTTTAAAAATTAGAAAAAATAAAAACAATAAGATAATAAAAAATTTGAAACTAAAAAAAATCGACAAAATAATGAATAAAATAATGAATAGTTGAAGACAAATAAAAATAAATGTTATCAATAAGAAAATAATTTGAATAGGTTTCAAATATAGATTGATAATTTATGATGGGAATCCAAAATTAGAACAGCGAATTGGTATATTGATAACAAATGATATTATGTTATTAATAAGGTATAAATGTTTTGAATGTAATTCAAATTAATTTTGAAATATGAAATTGAAAAAGATTGAAAAATTAAAATAATAGAATTTTGAATGAGTTTCCGTTGAAATGAATGTTATGGAAATGTAGAAATATTAGCCTTTGGATGAATTGGAGGGTGAGAGATATTATTTCATACAAATACTACTCTCACCCTCCAATTCCCAGCCAAAATGCTAAAAATTGCCCGCAATGTGAACAATTGCGGGCAATTTTTAGCCATTTGGGCTTGGAACTAGAGCCTGTGAGGTACATGGATAGTATCAGTACCTCACAGGCTCTATTCTCTATATGGCGCAGAGAAATTTTGGTGAAAATGTGGTCGCATTTCACCAAATTTTTTCGGCGCCATAGAATGAATTGGAGGGTGAGAGATATTATTTCATACAATACTACTCTCACCCTCAATTTTAATTACTTAAAACTCATTATATTTTTTTTGACATGTAAATGTCACTTTTACTGAGATCTGACACAACGTCAGATCTCTTTTTTTCGTATATAAGAAAGCAACTTCAATTATGGCTGGAATCCAACAAGTCCATGGGTGCTTATGCATTCCTGATGATACAACAGTGCAAGGGATGTTGGATGAAATGCAGGAAGATTAACGCCAGATGGTGAAGAGATTCTCCGATCAATCACTACAATATTCAAAAATGATATGAAAGAATATGGTAGAATTGATTTTGCTTCGTTTGCTTTCGGCTTTACACCGTTAGCAAGAAAGATCATCAGAGACAAGAAGGGTTTTGGAGGAAAGACAAGCTATCCACCTATAATGCAGTTGAAAGATGTGCAAGTCCAACGATTCCTTCCTGAGGATCATCAATCGCGAGATCACATTTAGAAACTCGGCGAAATCCTTGAAGAAGAACGAACAGAACGTGTTGATAGAGGTAGCCGAGCATGATGAAGAGATCCAGCAAGCAGAAGAGGAACAAATGCTTAACGACGATCATGCAGCCGAAACAAATGCCGATGGTTCGAGGAATTCCTTGGTCTGGGATGTTGTAGAGTGAAAGAGTAAAAGATCTATACACATTCATGATAACAATCCTCAGACAAAGAGCAATTGCCGAATCAACAGTTGATCCAACGATCAATAAAGACGATAGAGCAAGGAATTGAGTGATGCTTACGATTTCTTCATAGAGCAAGATGATTCCCATCTTATAAATGGTCATCATCTTGCTCAAAATGATGGCAAGTTTTGGTACATGAATGGCATAAAGCAACTAAAAGCAATAAGACCAATTGGAAAAAGGATGATGTCACTTTCGTGCAGTGAAGCAGATGTAGAACGTGTAATATCTGAATTGCGAAAGACAAGAAATTCAATGAACGAATCATGCAAAGAAGAATATGTAGCATGCCACTTCTTCATCAAGTTGAATGATGATCAATTTGATATTTTGATTTTGTTTTTTAAATAAAATTTATTAAATAATTTGTTTAAAAAGTATTATTTTTATTCGTAAAGATATAGACAGAAGGTGGCCAGCCTAATGTCTATCAATCTTTAATATAGTAGTAATTTCCCGCATTTCTGAAATGATGATTGATTAGCTTTGTTGTTATTGATGTAAAACTGGATAAGTATTAAATAATTATATAGGGTGTCCAAAGGTGCGTTTAGCACAGCGCTCTATATGAGACATTAAAGGAGATATATGCTGATTATAAATATAATAATAAAAATAGATATATTGTATATGATGAGTAATGTTGTATTTTGGCGCCATGCCGTGATATAAAATGAATTTTGAGACAAAGGCGGTTTCGCGGGAAATTTTGGCGGGATTTTTTTCATTTTTTAATGAATCATAAAGAAAACATCCGCGCTCTTGCAAAAAAATGCAAAGACTGTAAAAAATCTCGAGACATTGGTAAAATGCTTCGGTATGATGCTCCTAGCTATTCCACTGTAACGTATCATATTAGGATGTATCACTTCATGAAACAAAAAAGCGCCATCATAAAAATTGACAAAAAATCGCCGGATCAAAGAAAAATCAAAGCAATTCTTCAAGCGCTAGATGAAGACCCAAGAGCATCACTCAGAAAGGATAGAGGAGATGACAAAGATACACGTACAACAGTCAGTTATTATCTGCACAATTATTTGAACTACAAACTAGCGTATACACGTTGGGTTCCGCACAACCTTAATTCAGTTCAAAAAAAATCTAGAGTCCAATCTTCGAAAGAGCTCCTCTCTATATTGGGTGCGTATCAATCCAAGAAGTTTCGCTTTTTTAGTAACAGGGGAGAGTCTTGTTTCAATATGCAACAGAAGCCAAAATCATGTGGATCCCGAAGGATGAAAATCCGCAAACATTCCCGAAGAAAAAAATTGACACACCAATGATGATGTTGTCGGTTTTTTGGGGCGTGAATGGCATCATCGCAATTGATATTCTTCAAAAACCTAATACGATGAATGCTCAGTATCTAATTGACAAATGTTCTTACTCAAATTATCATTCTGATGAGTTTGAGAAATCCAAACAACAAAAACAAAAGTTTGCAATTCATTTTGATAATTCAAGAGTTCACAAAAGTCATAGGTAATGAATTACTTGGTGAAAAAACAATGTCAAAGTTGTTCCAAACCCAATTATTCACCTGATATTGCACCCTCTGACTTTTATTTATTCGGCACGCTAAAAAAGAGACTGAAGGACGCGAATTCGGAGTCCAGATGATCTTGAAAATTTTAAGAGAGCAATTTGAGCAATTTCTCATGATGATTTAAAGCGTGTCTTTCAAGCCTGGATCGATCGCTGCGAAACGCGTGATTGAATCCAATGGTGATTATATTTAAATAAACTTTATATATATGTAACTTGTTTATTCTATTCGCAGTATTCAGGTTTGTGCTAAACACACCTTTGGACACCCTATATTAATCTTGGCCAGGGACTGCTGATGGCCAGTCAGCAGCGGCCACTATGAATCATTATAATCATTTAATACCTAAATTGAAGGTAAAAAAGCAATAAGACTTGCCGAGCCTCATGCCCTACCTCATATAAATAGAATCACACTTTAGTGAAATCAACATCTATAAAGAATGAAGTTTTTTGAAGCTGAAATAATATTGAATAGAAATTAATTTTTTCTGAAATTTTGAATGAATTATGGAATAAAAAAATTACTAAATTGTATCATACAAATATATTATTTTAAAGGAAAAATAGATGCTGATAGAAACAATGAAAATTTTTGAAAACTTTACAATTAATTTATGTTCGTTAACCACAGAGCTTGCAATCCAAAGCTCACGTTAGACAACAAGAGTCATGAAGTCTCATACTAAGGGAATATCCAACATATATTTTAATAATCTAATGTTTGTGACAAATATTCAACATAAAATTAAGTTTTCGTTTCGTTACAAGGCATTCATACTTTGGAGATATCATATTTAATGTACAGAAAAGTTAAATTAAACAATACATGCAGTATAATATTGATTAAGAGGCATTAAAAGGTTCCATAGTCTGCTTTATAGGCAAGATTTTTGATAAAAATTTTAAATTTTGAAAATATGATAGAGAAAGGAAAAGGTAAATGAGAGCAAGAGGAGGGGAAAAAGAAAAAGAAAAGAAAGGAAGGAAAAAATAAAAGAAAAAGAAGGACAATAATAAAAAATTTAGATGCGCATTCTTAATGCCGAGGCGGCTTGCCGCCGAGGCGCGATTTTTTTAGGCCTCTAAACGGTAACCCGGCAAT